ATCTCTGTGACTGACCTTCACTTTCCACCTGGAGGTTCAACGCTGTAGACATCACGCATCTCCTTTCATCTCTGTGACTGACCTTCACTTTCCACCTGGAGGTTCAACGCTGTAGATATCACACATCTCCTTTCATCTCTGTGACTGACCTTCACTTTTCACCTGGAGGTTCAACGCTGTAGACATCACGCATCTCCTTTCATCTCTGTGACTGACCTTCACTTTCCACCTGGAGGTTCAACGCTGTAGATATCACACATCTCCTTTCATCTCTGTGACTGACCTTCACTTTCCACCTGGTGACTTCAAGTGTTTGTAGGTCTCATGGTCTACTCCTATTCAACTATTTTGTGTAGGCAGTTTTTGTCTCTGTGTTATATGCCCATCCTTCTATATGCCCTGCTATAGGTCACAGCGCACCTTACTTTTAAATTGTATTTCTTCTCTTTGTGTTTGCTGGACCAGCTGAAATTTGTACCAATACAATTTAAGTATCAAATTATATCACTCAAGAGCTCTTCAAAGATGTCCACATCAAACACTGGAAGAAATGATTTCATGCGATATATGTTTTGTATGTGTGTAATCAAAAATGACGTATACAGCAAGAATTAAAAATAAAAATGACGAGAAAATATACAAATATTATAGCAGTCTTCTGTTCCGAAACAAGCCCACTCACAAATACGCAGACATCACTTCAGAGAGTGATGAAGGATAACAGTTACAGTACAAACACCATAATTCTTCTTCCTCTGTGTTTACCCTTAAAAGGGCAGTTGTAGTTTACAGCTAGGCTGGAACACCTGTCCATTTCAAGCCAACATTTTCAATTGCAAATGCTTTATTTATCACTTATACAATGTGCTGGTTAATGTGCAGCTGTCTACTGTTCTATAAAAAAAGAGGCTAGAAAAACTATCATTAGTCTGAGAAATGATAGTGATTCATTGATCCTCTTACTCATCTGAAACAATCTCTTCTTTAAAAAGGTAGAGGTAAAGTCGGGAGATGTGAACCAGCGTCATTGGACACGGTTATAAATCACAAGTGCTCTGCCACCAGTACGGACAGCTAATTCGAAACTGTCCGCCTCTGTCGCCGTCCGCATGTAACTCCGTAGCTACAGCGACATTCCTCCATTCACCCCAGAGTGTAAACTCTGGTACCCATTTCCTAGAGGCTGGGTGAACCCCGAGAACCGACCGTGGTTGCAGCTAGTCGCAGCTGGATTTAAAAGCAAGCCTCCTATCGACTGCGCTAAAGCAGCACCCTAATCTCTGCTGTGTAAATGTCAACTATCTGACACAGAAAAATCATTTATGCCAGCAGACACAGGAAAATACTGCTCAAGCAGACACTGGAGCCTCTAGCAGAAACTGGGAAAACTACACAACTGAGCCAGCCAGACATCTTCAGTCTGATATTTCTCCAGCCAGATTTTTCTTTTTAGGGTGTTAGTCCACATCAGAAAGAGACAATCTTTGGTCAAGTGATGACAAGAAGAAAACTGGAATACATAATGACAGCTGGAGAGACAGAGGAAGACCGAAAGAAAAGATGCTGGACACGTTGATTGAAAGTACACTAGACAGAAGGCTGTGGATAGACACGACTACCAATGCTATACGACATGGAATTTAAAAGAGAAGAAGCACACGCGGTCTGCAGCCTGAAGATTTTGGTCCACATGGCTAGTGCACACAGACTGTGTAGAATAAGACCATACTGACACCCCAGAAAAGACCATCACCTTATGGAGAATTTAAAACTAGATCTCCCATATGAGAGACCAGCAGTCTAGTTGCATGGCCAGCCACTATGTTGCGGGAGGTTGGGGGGAAGAGCATATCTTAGTAAATGTATTCATATTTTAGTTACTGTTAGATGTTTCTGTCATGTTTAGTGATGTTACATTTGAACAATCTGCTTGCCCTGTTTTCAAATGTAGTGAGATATAAACAGGTACCAGCCATCAGTAGAAACAGCAAAGATGAAACCAAGTCCTCATCACGACAGACAATTACAAGTGAATGCCTACTAAAAATGGAGCCCACAGTGGCTAGATTATCACCTGCCAACCTAGGATCAGGTTCAAATCTTGACCAAAAAGATTTAAACAAATTTGGGAAGTAAAAGCATTTTTGTTTTTTTAAATGAGGAGTGTAACATCAAATGCTGATGTGCAGTTGGCATTTTGTTTTCTGGCCTAATAAGAAACAATGATTAACAAGTTTCAGCACAGGAGTGATTCTGTTGTAAGAGGAACAAACACAGTTTATGTAAAAAGGGGAAGAACCTGGTCTAACATCATCAAGGAATACAAGCTGGCTATATTTGCCAAGATTCATCATTACTCTCTATTACACACATAATGAATTTGGGTGACTCAAAGGAATACACATTCTGAATAAATGTAAAGCTTCACTAACTGTCAAACAACATTCATCCACATTTATCGCACACAAATTAGTCTTCATCAGGCCCATTGGTTCTGAACGTCACAACTGAGGAAAGTAAATTAAAAAAAAAAAAAGGTTGACAACTGATGAGGAGGATTAGGTTCAGAAAAGACCTGGGATGAAAGAAGTGCTGTAAAGCCAGATGGGTTTTCATGTCTTCTGGATATTGTTGGCATGTGACTGTCTAAAACAAACAGCACAAGGTTTATTAATAAGATATACATGTTCTTAACACTTTCACCCCGAGAAGCCGAAAAAACCAATACTCCCAGTTGGGTCCAATTCCAGGTAAATGTTGCTTATTCAACTTGCCTACGCTGACCTGGGTACTAGATGTATAGTTAATGCAATGGCTGTTATCATGACAGTGCAAACATTTAAGAGGTCAGGACAGGAATGCATTAACTAACAATGGCATTTAGGGGGAGGGTTTCTTTCAGCTAAACAGCTTTTTTTTTTTAAAGCCAAGCTGATGTCAAGATTTCCAGTAAGTCTCAGTGATGGAGTTCATGGGTCACCCGATACATGTGTGGATATATTCCATTTAATTCTTCACCCTCTAATTCAGCGGTTCTCAACATGCCGGTCGTGACCCTATTTGGGTCAAACGACCCTTTCACAAGGTTCACCTTAGACCCTCGGAAAACACATAGTGATTGAAGTTAGACAGGAAAAATAACTGTTTGCGGGTCACCACAACATGAAGGAACTTTATTAAAGAGCCACAACATTAGAAAGATTGAGAGCCATTGTTCTAACTGATTACTCCTTTCATTTATCTTTATATATTTCAAGGACAACACATTTAAAATGTACATAAATACATTTTTAATGAATTTATTAGTGACCAGTGTAAAATTGCTATTTTTTTTTTTTGTTTAAATGTTTTCTAAATTTCCAACCTGGGCCTAAATTTGTGTAGTGTTCCTGGGGTGAAAGGGTTAACATGAGATAAATAACAAACAACAGAAAATGGGCTATTGTATGACAGTCTCTAACTTCTATAGTTATGATTTTATAGTTAAAATCAGGATATATCACACAGATTATCTGCAAAGCATTGATCAACTCTTGTCTCAAAATATGTTGTTATTGTATTCTGCACTTCTGGCCATATATGAGATGTAACATTTGTAAACACACAGAAAATTAGCAGACGAGTCAGGTCCTGATCACACTGCTCATGTCCTTGTGCACAACTGTTTGTCTAATGATAGCTCTCTCCCTAGAGCGGAACAACCATCACATCCTGGTGGCAGACACCTTCTCCTAGTGGCCACAACCATCACATCCTAGTGGGAGACACCTTCTCCTAGTGCCCACAACCATCACATCCTAGTGGGAGACACCTTCTCCCACAATCCATCACATCCTAGTGGGAGACACCTTCTCCTAGTGGCCACAACCATCACATCCTAGTGGGAGACACCTTCTCCTAGTGGCCACAACCATCACATCCTAGTGGGAGACACCTTCTCCTAGTGCCCACAACCATCACATCCTAGTGGGAGACACCTTCTCCTAGTGCCCACAACCATCACATTCTAGTGGCAGACACCTTCTCCTAGTGGCCACAGTCAGCACATCCTGGTGGCAGACACCTTCTCCTAGTGGCCACAGCCATCACATCCTGGTGGGAGACACCTTCTCCTAAAGCCCACAACCATCACATCCTGGTGGCAGACACCTTCTCCTAGTGCCCACAACCATCACATCCTGGTGGGAGACACTTTCTCCTAGTGCCCACAACCTTCACATCCTGGTGGGAGACACCTTCTCCTAGAGCCCACACCCTTTACATCCTAGTGGGAGACACCTTCTCCCAGAGCCCACAGCCATCACATCCTAGTGGCAGACACCTTCTCCCAGAGCCCACAGCTAACACATCCTAGTGGGAGACACCTTCTCCCAGAGCCCACAGCCATCACATCCTAGTGGCAGACACCTTCTCCCATAGCCCACAGCTAACACATCCTAGTGGGAGACACCTTCTCCCAGAGCCCACAGCCATCACATCCTAGTGGGAGACACCTTCTCCCAGAGCCCACAGCTAACACATCCTAGTGGCAGACACCTTCTCCCAGAGCCCACAGCTAACACATCCTAGTGGGAGACAACTCCCCCAAAGGCAATTGGCATTCTGTGTGATTTTGGCTGGTAGAAAAAAGGAGCAATTTTGCAATGACCTACTTGCCAGAAGTACAAGTAAATAACTAGACACTAGCAAGCACGACTCTCAATGACACCTGACATTTCCATGAAGTGGATGTTGCTTATTGTATTATTTGTTACCACACAGACAGAACTTTACAGTGAAGCTTCATTATAAATATTTCCTTGCAAACATTATCTTCCACAATATAACATGTTCCACAATATAACATGTTGAGCTAAGACACATCAGACCAAATGAAGACAGATTTCAGAATCAAGAAGGGGAGGAAAAACTAAATTAACAAAAATGTACAGTACAACAAGTAAATGGACTTAAGAAGATAAAAATGAAATTTTTATCAGAAAACATCAGAGAAACCAAGATCAGCCTTCAATGCCAAAATCCTCAGTGAATTTCTGCAGTTTTTTTAGATCCTCCTCATTGACAGTTGGCTTTGAATTACTGATGGCCATCAACATGTCAGACTGTGGAGGCAAACAACAATAATTATGCCATATCAAACATCAACACAATAAGGCAAATATGTCAATCTGGCAGTGTGCAAAGAGAGACATAAGGGAGGATAAGAGGTCAGTAAAGGAACTTTTAAAGCAGTGTGGGTTGCGCTGCGACCCATTTTGGGGTCTAACGATCCTTTCACAAGGATCACCTAAGACTATAGGAAAACACACATTGAGGTTATTAAGTAAAAATGAAAAAGGTTTTATGGCTGGGGATCGCCACAACAAGAGGAAGTGTATTAAAGGGTCGCGGCATTAGGAAGGTAGAAAACCACTGATTTAAAGGCAGTCATAGCAAAAATAGAACGAATGACCAAGTAAAATTGATGGAAATGTAAACAAAGGAGCAGTATTGATTCTACTTCAAGGATCCGGTTAGAGAAGGAAGAAAAATAGAAGAGTAAGAAAAGAAGAAGAAAGACAGTAGTAAGGAGAGAGAGAGAGTATATATATATATATCGAGAGGGAGGGAAGAGAGGGGACATGATTGATAGATGGAGGAAAGAAGTGGGGGGGGAGGGGTACACTTTCATGGTTTTTCACAGCTGTTAAATATTTTCTCACATTGTCCACAGCCCCAAGAACCAAAATTGCTGTTGCTGGATTTTTGTTGCATTGACAAAAATTGACCATTATGGCCTTAGAACTGGTACCTAGGGTTACATTTTTGCAACAAATCTGGCCTGCAACGCATCTCCACGATTCAGCTTTATATGATTACTGCAACGTAGCTACTTGTACTGCTCTAACGTCTAGGATTAATAACACAAACGGCTCTCATTTCCTTTATACATTTCTATCAATTTATTCTATCACATTCTTCCACAATGTTTCAACAATTATTCAACATCCACCAATCATTCACAAGACATTAAAACTACATCTCCTAATATAACAACTGTCTTCCTCGACTTCTCATAAGCAACTGACCACGAGTCCAGCTCAGGCTTCCCCTCGCTTACTCGACCAGCCTTAAGTATCTCGTGTCGTCGCTTGTCGCACAGACTTTCTGGTAGAAACACTGTAGGTGTGGAGACCATGCAAAGCACCTCATGACAATTATCATAAATTTCCACTTCTGCCATTAAGTGGGGAGGAACAGTTTAGGATCTATAGCTTGACGGGCAGCAATGGCTACTGTCATTCCCTATCAACGTAGAAGCTCTTTAATGTCATCAATCCATAATCTGCTAAGGCGGCCTCTTGCTTCCACTTTAGATCTTTTCGTGTGTAGTGCCTGCGGTGGTAGTTGTTCTGGCTGCATTCTTACTGGATGACCAAACCACTTGATCTTCTGTTTCTCAATGAATTTGCTGCATGGTGTTGTTCCTACAGTCTGTCTGATAATTCTTTTCTAACCTTGTCTCAGATGGTTAAGATGGTGGCTTTTCTCAGGCATCTCACTTCACACAGGTATTAATTTTACGTAAATTAGCCTTTAATAATGTCCACGTCTGGCACTGGTAGCACAGTGCTGGTATGCATATGCTGTTTATGATCTGTTTCTTGGTGCTCATACTTATGTTTGAATGTCTTAATAATGATATCAGTGGGTATATAAGTGCACTGGCTGGTTGGCATCTTGTTTCCATTTCCTAATCTATTTATCCCATTCACAAAGAATATACCTCTGAGATACTGAAACTCTTTAACTTGCTTCAAACAAGTACCATTTAACCAGATTTGTAGCGGACTAGGAATTCTGCTGACCTGCTTTACTTCAGTTTTAGTCGTATTTTATTTTCATATCTTCTGCATGCTGAACTTGGCCTGTTCAACAAGACCAATAAGGAAAACACTGAAACAGATAACTACAAACCATAGAAATAATAGGTTCCATGAGTTTATCTCCAGGCACATCCATCCAATTCATTTCTATTGCTCCAGGGGCCCCTGGGGAGCATGGAGTTAACAGGTCGTCTATAATTTTGTTTGGGTCTTCTCTAGAAGGGCCGCGGACCTGAAACATATTTTACATTGTGTTAATAAGTACTCTTTTTATCATGGTATCATCTGTAGATATATTAACAAATGTAACAATGACTGAACATTTCTGAAGTGGCCAAGCTGTTTGCCTCATACTCCTAAGATCAAGGGTTCATTATTGGACTGTGCAATTTCCCCAGAAACATTCAAGAGACCATTGCTGGAGTTACAGGGTTTGTATTTGGTGGGTGAGCTCTTAGCAGACAGGCTGCCATTGTGGACAGACTGAGTGAGCCCCATGTAAAACGCATATCTGGGTTCATCTGGATGCTGATTTGACATCACAGCATCCCACTTATCATGAAGAATAACCAAATTGATGGTAACTACTTGTCTTGCCTTTCCCATGAGTCTCAAGTGGAGCCCAGAGCTCACAGACATTTCTTGCTGCAACATTTTCTCCAGGTGTGTGTTTTCAGTATCTTTCCTTTTACCTGTTACATTGTCCCACAGGTGACAGATCATCACTGCCTTGTGCAGCACACCCCCTAAGTGAGGCAAGCCCAGCCAACCTATCTGCCTGCTCATTCCCAAACATGCCTGAATGGCCTAGGAAAAATATCTGTGACTCAATTACCTGTGACCTCTGGATTGATGTGACCCATTACATCCAAAGATAACCTACCTCTACCTTCTCTCTGTGAGTCTGATTCTATGACCACATGTGTACCTGTATGATTTTCTCCACCCACTGGGATGTCACAGTTACCGCCTCAACCTCCATTCTCATGCTGGATGTGGTAATGTCATGTGCCAAGCTCTCCTCAGTCATCCTTCTTCCCCATGCTTTTACAATGAAGCCTCATCCACTCATGTGCAGTATACAGATATGTAGTAATGTTGACTGTTCTCTGGTTCACTATTGTTCCTGGCGATCAAACCTGCCACTGTCACAATATATCCCCAATGACAGGAGTTTTGTGTCTGGTGGATTCGTCAACCTCTGGACGGCTACAGCAGACAGTAATTGTTAGTTAGTTTAGTTAGGTTAAGTCAAGAATTTACATCACAGCACTCAGGGGCATTCCCATGCGTGCTCCATCCTCATCTTCAGCAACCAGCCCAGAGTTCCAGTACTAATGGTACTGGTCACAATCTGGTTATAGGTCCGTCTCGCCTTTTTTCTGAGTGTAGCCAGTCGACCAAACCCTCTGGTTACTCTCAGGTGCCTCATTCTCTCCAGGGTATAATAATCTTGTTTCTCCACTGATTCCGTTACTTGTTCCCAAAGGACCTTGAGTCTTCCCTGTCATACATCAGTTTCACCACCCAGTGGTGCAGATCCAGCCAATCTGTTTGCCTGTTTATTACCCACAACACCGGCATGACCAGGAGAAAAGATGGCGGACAGTAAAAGACAACATATAGTGTCTTAGTCTACGTTACAAAACTAGAACAAACGTGGCTAGAAAACATTGGGCAGAATCTATGGTGACCAACAATAGTAACTTAATTCAGTGTGTTTTTAATCTTGTATTCTAAAATACCACTCAGCTAAGCTAGATTTTTCTAGATTTTACCCACAAACAATTGTTTGACAGTTTGCATTTCATTTCTATCTTTGTGGGATTACTGGTAATGTTCCAATGCAATGCTTGCTTATTAATGTTCTGCCTGAGAAAACAATGTGTCTTTTAACTGACAGCAATTTATCTCAATTTTTTTTTTTAACCTCAAAAGTTTTATATAAAATCATCATGTATATTCAGTGATTAATATTTGTTCTTTACTCCCCAGATTGGAGATCACTACTATAAGGTAACCAAAGAATACTGAACAGCAGCACTGTAACCTGCCATTCAATAAGGAGGAGTGGCACAAAACTGGCTACCTCAAATTCAGAAAAGCTTAGCAATAACCCAAACAATCAAGAAAATGTCAGCCCTTCAAGATGAACAGACAAGTTTTCAGCTAGAAGAAGCAAGAAGTGATCAAAGGAAAGCTTCTATTTTCTTCAAATAAATTTTCCACAATCGTGAGCTTCTAAAATTGTCATGCTCAGGAGATCATTAAGGCAAGAAACAGCTCCTGTGTACAAAATCTACCTTTCTGAAATGTGTGGCCGTCTGAACTTTCCTGACCGGCTGCATCAGTGCTTCTCTCACCACAACACTGATATCTGCACCAGAGTAGCTGCCAAAAATATGAGGCACAATTCATTGTTATGTCAAGAATGTCTTCTAAAAACATATATCTAAGTATATGTCAGCGGGAATATGAATTCAGGGTAGGCATGTTTCACAATCCCGACCCAGTGTTCCAAGTCAGCTACTACTAACCTTCTACTTTGCACTGATTTTAATAAGTATTGTGCCGTTCAATAAAAAACATAAAATTGTCTAGAAACACCACAGATAGCCCATAAATTTTGGGAATGGTAGGGGCATTACAAAGTAAATATGTAAATAACTTTATGTGTCACAGTAGGTGATGATGCTAAACAAACTTGTATGTCAGAGTATCTGCCAGATAGAGTGACACTAAACAAATATTTCAGAGTATCTGCCATATATATGGGTATACTAAACACATTTGTGTGTCAGAGTATCTACCATTTATATGGTGATTCTAAACAAATTTGTGTGTCAGAGTATCTGCTAGATATATGGTGATACTAAACAAATTTGAGTGCCAGAGTATCTGCCAGATATATGGTGATACTAAACAAATTTGTGTGTCAGAGTATCTACCATTTATATGCTGATACGAAACAAATGTGTGTGTCAGAGTATCTGCCAGATATACAGTGATACTAAACAAATTTGTGTGTCAAGAGTATCCTTTAGAACGTTGATGATGACAAAATTATGTGTCAGACTATATATAATATACATTTTATTATAGATCAACATTCTGGTTTCAGTTCTGTTAACCAAAGTATTTCATAGAATTTATAAAACTACATCACATGTAGTGAAAGAGCCTTTGAAATTGTTTGTAAGTGTCCTAAGGTAACTCTTGTAATAGACAAATTACTGGGAAACACTGTCAGTATGACTGTCATGAAATCACTGATGAAATTTTGCAGGTTAGCAAAGACAAACAGCAACCAGATTGTAACCACAGGTGATAACAGCAAAGTTACCTACCCTTCAGTTCTTAGTCCTAGTTCCCTGAAGTCTTGCTCGGTGAGAGAATGGGGTGTGGCGCCCAGATGTAGCTTGAACATCTCTGTCCTAGCAGGAGCCTCAGGCAGTGGGATATATATTCTCTTTTCAAATCTATAACAAGATAAACACAAAAATAAACATCAGATGTTTTGTCACTGCGGACAATATTGTGTGTTGTGACATGCTCAACATCACTGCCTTAGTGTCAGTCGGCTGCTGATCTTCTTCTTCTGTCACCCAATGAGACACAGGCCTTTAACAAGCTACTTCATGCAGCTCTCCCCATGTCCTCCACATCTTTTTATGTTTACTCCTAGATCCCTTCTCTAGATGTTTTTTTTTTTTTTTTGGTGGTTTTTCCTTTATTTCTATGCCACTGTAGGTTTCAGTGCACAGACATTCTAGCTATACTGTACTCAGGTTTTCTCAATGCGTGTCCTATCCAACATCAGCATCTTTTCTTCACCTCTTGGTCCACTGGAACTTTTTTAACTTCTCTCCAAAAGCTCTACATTAGTGATGCCATGACATTTAATTCTCTCTAACCTGAACAGGCCTCAGTTAATGAATGTTTGTAGTTTATTAGTTGTTCTCCATGTTTCCGCTCCATACAACAGTACAGATTTGACATTAGAATTAGAACATTTTAAGTTTAAATTAGTTTTGATCTTAGCACTAGGATATTTTTTTTAAAGTACAACAGTGAATTCAAGTATGGGTTTCATGTCTGGCCATGTTTACAATGGGTACTAGGTCAAGTTCTAGGAAGTAAAGGTGGCCAGCATGATGCTGACTACATCACATACCCAATGCCAATGAGTCTATAACAATACAGATCTAGCATTATATAAGAATCCTTCCCGTCTCTCTAGCGTAGTTGGCTAAACCAGATTGCGCGGTGAGCGGATGACGAGCTCCTTGTGGTGCGGGTTCACTCCCGGGGGTGGGCAGAAAAGCCACATTTCTCCCAGATTTACGGTATTTAACATGGAATCAAGGCCGAAAGGTTGCGATATCCATAATACTGAGCCTAAGGGTTAACAGCTCATGGCTTCTGGATACTAAAACAAACATAAAAATCCTAAAAGCATGGAAAAGGGTCCTTTATTTTACTGTTCATGTATGGTCATATACAACTACACAACTTGCATAAGGAATGCTGCACACAGTAAGGCAGCAGGCAGACAGGTTAAAGTAGGCCAGAAGAAGAGATACTTCATCAGTGTATCCTCGTCTGGGTTCCAGGGACCCATTGTGGGGAAAACAAGAATCGACACACTGTCTACCGAAAAGCATGTCACAAGAGTCGACTAATTGGGGAGCTTTTTTTAAAGTCAGAGCGCGTCTGCCTGAGAGGCAAGGAACCAACAGTCTGCATTCAAGTGAATCAGATCTGTAAAGCTCATGCACACGCAACACTCAGGTTCTAGAGCAGGACTGCAGTTCAGAAGTGGACAAAAAACCAGAACTTTCCGCCAGAGTGTACAGCTGGTGAATGAGCTGGAAGAAGAACAAGAAGAAGAAGTGTCATACTGATAGAACACACAAAACCATATAAGGAGAAATTTAAAAAAAAAAATACGAATAAAAAAAAAAAAAATAAGAGTCAGCTGACAGGCAACAATAACTTACACTAAAACACCTGGCCCCAAGAAGCTACAGTGAAAGAAAAAGTGTGGGGTACCTGTGATTACTGCCGGCAGATTCCTTGTCCGTGTATAGCCTTTCACAGGCATACATATTCTGTTTGCTTTGCTCTTGTTTACTAGCAAAGACCTGTCTTAACATCACTATTCTCTTGCACTCTTACACATTTTCTAGCACAACTTAACCATTGTCACTGAATGTTAAAATTGCCAAAAAAAAATTATTTTAATTATTAAAATATCTGTATGTATGCTTTTTTTAGTATTCTTCCCTTTTATATATTTAATAAGCTAAATCAATGGATAAAATAATCTACAGTGGATGGGATATTCAACTGAAAGACTGTCACCTTCTTCGGATGGCCGCATCCAGAGCCCAGGGAATATTTGTTGCTCCCAGCACCAAGGACACCATCATTGTCATTTCCAACTCCTTGCATCTGAACCAAAAACTCTGTTTTAATGCGTCTCGCTGACTCAGACTCATTGTCATTTCTGGATCCACACAGAGCGTCCACCTCGTCAATGAAAATGATTGCTGGCTTGTACTCCCTAGCCAGCTTAAACAAGGTTTTGACTAATCTAGGCAGAGAAAACATTCATGTTCATGAAAATGTCATTAAATGTCATCAATTGATATGTCATCATATTAAATTAATGTCAAAACTGGTAGCCTGCAAGCAAACAGGAGGAGAAGAGAGTAAAATCAAGCAAATACACAAACATGTTTTTAAAAAAAATCCTGGTAGAGACACACACACACACACACACACACAGAAGAGGAGCGTAAGTGAGGGAGGGGGAGAGAGACACAGAGTGAGAGAGAGAAAGAGAGATACACACACACATAGAGAGAGAGAGACAGAGAGAGAAAGATAGATAGATAGATAGAGAGAGAGAGAGAGAGAGAATGTGACAAGAGCCAACTTCAACTGCAAAATGATTACATACACTGCCACATCTCTCTAAGAAATACCATCTGTCTGGTGTAAATAAACTGTAAAATGACTAAACATTGTCACATCTCTCGAAATACCATCTGTCTAGTGTAAATAAACTGTAAAATGACTATACACTGTCACATCTCTCTAGGAAATACCATCTGTCTGGTGTAAATAAACTGTAAAATGACTATACACTGTCACATCTCTCTAGGAAATACCATCTGTCTAGTGTAAATAAATTGTAAAATGACTACACACACTGTCACATCTCTCTAGGAAATACCATCTGTCTGGTGTAAATAAACTGTAATGACAGATGTGAAACAGGTATAACGATGTTAGGAATTTCCAAGATTTACAAGCAAAGCTAAAACAAAAAAGTTCTACAGTAATAAGACAAAATATACAGGCGCTCTTTCTTGAAAAAAAACTTACTTTTCACTCTCTCCTAACCATTTTGACATCAGATCAGCTGAAGATACTGTAAAAAACTTGGAGTTGTTTGCTTCAGTAGCCACAGCCTTGGCCAAAAATGATTTACCAGTTCCAGGTGGCTAGAGTAAAGCAAGGTTCAAATGTTCTAGTACACAATCATGGTAACAAATAATGTAAGACAATCTTAAAGCTGAAAGATAACATATCAACAATGTCTGTAACAGACAGAAATTCAAAAATTCATTGAAAACAAAAATATATAATTTTCATTTTAAAAACCATGCAAATGCACACCTGTGGAAGCATTTTCACACATATCTTCCTTTGTCAATTAAGATGAGAAATTGAAATCCAAAAGGTTTTAAAAACCCTATATCGATTTAAGGTTTAGATTCAGATGACGGATCAACATCATGGAACTAGGGGTAACCCATAAGTGATATGTTCAACTTCTGACTCAAGCCGAAGAATCTCAGCGCAGTGCACAAACTCTGCAGCACCGGTGAGGATCCTAAAATACTTTGGGTAGATTTTTAACGCCAAATTTTGCCCAGACAGCGTCGTTCGGCTACTCTTTTCAAATTCTAACTGCCAAGGGATTTTTTTTTATGTGCGTAACAACAAGACACTGGCATCCAATCTTACTACTCAGAGACCAGGGGAAATTACCAGAAGTCCATTCATATATTGATATAAGGAAGTGAATCATGGCCAGTTAGTAAAACTTATTTGCAAGCTGCAGAGATGTGGTTTTACAGACGAATGAAGAGGACGGATTGCCCACATCAGAAAGAGACAATCTACATTCTTAGGTCATGTGATGAGGAGAAAACTGGAGTACATTGTGACAGTAGGAAAGTTGGAGGAGAGGAGAGGCAGAGGGATACCAAGAGAACAGATGCTGGATAGTATGACATCATGGCATGGAGGATCATCTGTGTCAGTGTTGACTAAAAGTTGAGACAGAAGGTTGTGGATAAACATGACTACTAACGTCACACACGGCTTGGGCTTAAAGAAGAGAAGAAGTCTTTCTTTACTTCATTTGCATAATATTTTACAAAAATTATTATTCATCCTAGCTCTTGAAATTCACCGAGGCAGACATTATCTGCCTCCACACATCTCTAGGATTGGTCTTTTTTTTTTTCAGTTGGTGAATGCAAATGTTTGTAAGTCTGCCTGAATACTTCTCCACTATCTTCTTGGTCTGCTTCTTTTCAACTCTTTTGTGTATGCAGTTTTCGACTGTTATCTGCAATTCTCTCTAAATGTCCCAATTATTGCAGTCCATTAGCCCTTGTGATGCCAGTAATTATTAATGATTTAAATGGATAATAAACTTCATCATTTCTCATTCTCCATTATTTTGTTAAGTCTGTTATGTTAGCGAGAGGCTGAAAGTAAACAAGAAGCCTACATCAATGATATATCTAGCCATGCATACAGATGAAACAATTCTAGTGAAATAAGACTGTTCTCAAAAGATAGCAGTATTTCACCCCCCCCCCCCAAAAAATTTCTCTGATCCCCAGAAATGTTCAGAATACTAAACCTAGGAGACCCATGTCTGAAACTGGTTGCTTAACTGCAGTATAACATATTTGTACTGCAGTACCTGGGAATCACCTTTGCCAGAAGTTTGTCTTTCAAAGTTCACATGCATTAAAAATTATGGCAGCGATGGACATGGAGCAGAGACTGCTGTTCACACTTTACCAGCCCATATAACCAGATTACGACTGGTACCATCAGTACTGGAACTCTGCGCTGGCTGCTGAAGATGAGGACAGAGCACACATGGGAATGCCCCGAGTGCTGTGATGTCAATTCTTGACTCAACTCATATAACATATTTGTGTAAATACAGCCTCCTAAACAGAAAAACAACATTCCATAAATGCAATCATATTGTTTAAAATCACTTACCCCAAAAAGCAGAATTCCCTTCCAAGGCTTTCTCTTTCCTGTTAAAAGAACAAACACAACCTTCAGAAATATACAATTCAGACACAGCAAATTCTAAAATATGTAGTTGTTGACTGTTTTTCCATAGACTGCAAAGTACCTATATCATCTATGTATGTGATGAAGAGGGAGAGGCAGATCAAGAGAGAGTATAAGGATGGACTGAGATGGAAGCATGAAAGGATATCATAGGTGGAACTGATCCAAAAGACATGGGATCAAGATCTGTGGACATGCATCAGCCCCTACGATGATGTGTCGAGCAGACTGTGTGTGTTTTTTGCCTACATAATGTTTTGTCTCAAGCAACACACTGTCTGTAATCGACTGTTCTTTATGTGCTTCAATATGTCTAGTGCTTTCTCCATCAGTATTCTGTCTTTATGTTTAGTCAGAAGAACAATTCTATGCATATGTTTCTTCTTCTTTTGCCTATCAAGATAATAATTCTATAGGTATGTTCACTCAATAGAATAATTCTACAGGTATGTTTACTCAAGAGATTAATTCTACAGGTATGTTTACTCAAGAGATTAATTCTACAGGTATGTTTACTCAAGAGATTAATTCTACAGGTATGTTTACTCAAGAGAATAATTCTACAGGTATGTTTACTCAAGAGATTAATTCTACAGGTATGTTTACTCAAGAGATTAATTGTACAGGTATGTTCACTCAAGAGATTAATTGTACAGGTATGTTCACTCAAGAGAATAATTCTACAGGTATGTTAACTCAAGAGATTAATTGTACAGGTATGTTTACTCAAGAGAATATTTCGACAGGTATGTTTAAAGAGAATAATTCTACAGGTATGTTTACTCAAGAGAATCATTCTACAGGTATGTGTACTCAAGAGAATAATTCTACAGGTATGTGTACTCAAGAGAATAATTCTACAGGTATGATTACTCAAGAGATTAATTCTACAGGTATGATTACTCAAGAGAATAATTCTACAGGTATGTTTACTCAAGAGAATAATTCTACAGGTATGTTTACTCAAGAGAATAATTCTACAGGTATGTTTACTCAAGAGAATAATTCTACAGGTATGTTTACTCAAGAGAATAATTCTACAGGTATGTTTACTCAAGAGAATAATTCTACAGGTATGTTTACTCAAGCGAATAACTCTACAGGTATGTTTCCTCAAGAAAATAATTCTACAGGTATATTTACTCAAGAGATTATTTCTACATGTATGTTTACTCAAGCGAATAACTCTACAGGTATGTTTACTCAAGAGAATAATTCCACAGGTATGTTTACTCAAGAGAATAATTATACAGGTATGTTTACTCAAGAGAATAATTCTACAGGTATGTTTACTCAAGAGATTAATTCCACAGGTATGTTTACTCAAGAGAATAATTCTACAGGTATGTTTACTCAAGAGAATAATTCTACAGGTATGATTACTTAAGAGAGTAATTCTACAGGTATGATTACTTAAAAGAATAATTCTACAGGTATGTGTACTCAAGAGAATAATTCTACAGGTATATTTACTCAAGAGAATAATTCTACAGGTATGTTTACTCAAGAGATTAATTCTACATGTATGTTTACTCAGGAGAATAATTCCACAGGTATGTTTACTCAAGAGATTAATTCTACAGGTATGTTTACTCAAGAGATTAATTCTACATGTATGTTTACTCAAGAGATTAATTCTACATGTATGTTTACTCAAGAGATTAATTCTACATGTATGTTTACTCAAGAGATTAATTCTACAGGTATGTTTACTCAAGAGATTAATTCCACAGGTATGTTTACTCAAGAGAATAATTCCACAGGTATGTTTACTCAAGAGATTAATTCTACAGGTATGTTTACTCAAGAGATTAATTCTACATGTATGTTTACTCAAGAGATTAATTCTACATGTATGTTTACTCAAGAGATTAATTCCACAGGTATGTTTACTCAAGAGAATAATTCCACAGGTATGTTTACTCAAGAGATTAATTCTACATGTATGTTTACTCAAGAGATTAATTCTACATGTATGTTTACTCAAGAGATTAATTCTACAGGTATGTTTACTCAAGAGATTAATTCTACATGTATGTTTACTCAAGAGATTAATTCTACATGTATGTTTACTCAAGAGATTAATTCTACAGGTATGTTTACTCAAGAGATTAATTCCACAGGTATGTTTACTCAAGAGAATAATTCCACAGGTATGTTTACTCAAGAGATTAATTCTACAGGTATGTTTACTCAAGAGATTAATTGTACAGGTATGTTCACTCAAGAGAATAATTCTACAGGTATGTTAACTCAAGAGAATAATTCTACAGGTATGTTCACTCAAGAGAATATTTCGACAGGTATGTTTAAAGAGAATAATTCTACAGGTATTTTTACTCAAGAGAATCATTCTACAGGTATGTGTACTCAAGAGATTAATTCTACAGGTATTTTTCTTCAAGAGAATAATTCTACAGGTATGATTACTCAAGAGAATAATTCTGCAGGTATGTGTACTCAAGAGAATAATTCTACAGGTATGTGTACTCAAGAGATTAATTCCACAGGTATGATTATTCAAGAGATTAATTCTACAGGTATGATTACTCAAGAGAATAATTCTACAGGTATGATTACTCAAGAGAGTAATTCTACAGGTATGATTACTTAAGAGAATAATTCTACAGGTATGTGTACTCAAGAGAATAATTCTACAGGTATGTTTACTCAAGAGAATAATTTTACAGGTATGTGTACTCAAGAGAATAATTCTACAGGTATGTTTACTCAAGAGAATAATTCTACAAGTATGTTTACTCAAGAGAATAATTCTACAAGTATGTTTACTCAAGAGAATAATTCTACAAGTATGTTTACTCAAGATAATAATTCTACAGGTATGTTTACTTAAGAGAGTTTGCTAGCAGACTCTGTGCTGGTATTTACAGAATTTCATGCAAGACGCCCGCCACACGTCCTTATCGTGTATTACAGATAATGGCCAGTACCTGCCTTGCCTAAACAGAGCTGGTAGGGTACCAGCAGCTAGTGGCTCACAGAGATGCACAGTCAGTAAACCTCTGGCTCTCATTAGCAAACCCCTAATGACTGTGTGATTACATCCGATGACCAAGTTTTCTACTAAACGACAAACCATGGGTCATAAACCTGTTGATAGAGAATCCTTAGGTTCCACTAACTGGTCACACTGGTCGGAGTGTCATGACTATATGGGTAAGTCACATGCCTGATGCATACTTCTCCCATAATGCCACATTAAGTGCCAGAATCACCTACGTTCACAGGTGCCACAGGCTACAAGAGAAGCCCAATATACTGAGGAAGCAAGATACCCATTTTGTGTGGTGAATCAAAATCTCGGGTCTGTGGACTGCTTCCTGCTGACTTCTAAAGGGTGCAGTCTTTGGATGAACGGGAAGCTCAATATACAGATGTCAGGTTGATCAGTCATCAGCAAATCAGTCAATCAGCCAACGGTTAATCAGTCATCAGTTAATCAGTCATCGGTTAATCAGTCATCGGTTAATCAGTCATCAGTTAATCAGTCAATCAACAGGACATGACAATTCCTTGGGCGAGCACAGAATCGGAGTGCCATGTAACAGGTTCTCCATGGAGGTGAGGAATGACCATATTCTACTGTTGCCTTTCCCCTGAGGGCCGACCAGTCTGCAGCTGCCCTAGATGGATCTTCTAGGGGCAACACCCGTGGGTGAGGGGATAAAGAAATCACCATACAAATGAGCCTGTTAGGTGTCCCCATCATTTCACACAAAACTAACAGGGGAGGCTAACTTGGTAAACAAGTGCAAAATGAAGCTGGATGTGCGGGCCTGAAGGTGGTAATACTGCAACTATGCTGTGAACAGGCACAATGCAATTACGTAACTCAGACGAAAGATTATGAAGAAGAAAAACCAGCTAGTAGGTCTTTGTGTGTGGAATGGGGGTGGGGAAGATTTAAGTTACGCTAACAATGCTAAAGATAAAGGCAGAGCTATAGCAACTGCTGCTTTTCTGGGATGAACTGTCAGGATTTCATACATTCTAGGTCATGCTATATGAGGTTGGGTTGTGCAATTCCCTTCCGTGTTGTTTTCCTTTCCAGGCAATATTACTGATTATTTAAAAGTCATAATGAACACAGAGCAAGGGAAAGACCACACAAGAAATGGAGCCACATCATCAGGAGCAACCTAACAGAAGTGAACGCCAACTTGTACAATGTATTGGAAAAAGCGCACAAACGATCCTAACATCCCCCCCTCCCCCCCCCCCCTCGCTGAGGTAAATAGTGGAAGAGAAGAAGAAGAATTTAAAAGTAAACTTTATCAGACATAAGCCACAAACATAACATCTGATAACTGGCCCTAATGCATACCTCTAAGTGTCCAATGATAACACATTCACCACCTACCTGTAAACAGTTGTGGGAACTTCACTGGTAAGATCACTGCTTCTTTGAGAGAATCTTTGGCAGTTTCCAGGACCTGCTACATCTTCCCACCGAACATTTGGACTCTCCATGACAATAGCTCCTAAAAGTATCAGAACATGCCAAAATAGTCAAATAGCCACAGCCAATGTAAACCAAGCAGTACAGTAAATAAATCTTGAAGCTAACTAAAAAAAAAAAAAGAACTGCTTATTCACATCATAATCTGAAAATATTCATTCTTGTGCTTTCCTTAAATACCTATCTGTCTTCCTCTGCATGTCTGATCTACGAGGCAGGTCAGATATTGACTACAGTATACACTGTGCAGTGAATGACTCTCCCAGGCATGCATTTTGAGGCATGAAGTGATTGTATTGTTGTGTGTTGTTCGTCAGAAGAATTGCCTTTTCTGTGGCATCATTTCCGTAGCCATAACAAAATCTTGTAATTAAACACATGCACTTTATTATGTAGCCATATTTCTGGCTCATCCTTGAGTACTGTTCCACCTAAGCTAAAAAATACTCTAGTCCAGGCATGTCAAACTGGCAGCCCGCAGGCCTCATGCGGCCCTCTGTTAGCAAACCAGCAGCCTGCACGAAGGAAATATTCTGCAATAATCTTTTATTAAATGACTTTAATTAGTTTCATGTGTGGTCCTCCTGACAACACAAATGTGACCCATATGGCCCTCAGGGAACCCACAGTTCGACATGCTTCTCTAATCCACCTCTTCTTCTGAAACGTGCCATTAAGTTCATTTGTCTTTTCATTATCATTCTGGTAAATGATCATTACCCAACTGCCTCAAGAAATTGAAATATCGGTTTTTCCATCCATTTCAAATCTCAGAAAAACCAGTATCTAGTTATCATGATACTGGCCAGTTGCTGAGAGGCACATTTATCACTTGTGGTACTGTTTGCAACTGTACTGTTATACTGGCCTAGATGTGATAACACTGACTACACACAGGCAGCTACTGAGTTATAGACAGTAAGCGTACAGAGAGTGTACAGACAGTGAGTGTACAGACAGAGAGCGTACAGACAGAGAGCGTACAGACAGAGAGCGTACAGACAGTGAGCCTACAGACAGTGAGCCTACAGACAGTGAGCCTACAGACAGTGAGCCTACAGACAGTGAGTGTACAGACAGTGAGCGTACAGACAGTGAGCGTACAGACAGTGAGCGTACAGACATTAAACGTACAGACAGTGAGCGTACAGACAGTGAGCGTACAGACAGTGAGCGTACAGACAGTGAGCGTATAGACAGTGAGCGTATAGACAGCGAGTGTATAAACAGTGAGTGTATAGACAGTGAGCGTATAGACAGTGAGCGTATAGACAGTGAGCGTATAGACAGTGAGTGTATAGACAGTGAGTGTATAGACAGTGAGTGTATAGACAGTGAGTGTATAGACAGTGAGTGTATAGACAGTGAGTGTATAGACAGTGAGCATACAGACAGTGAGTGTATAGACAGTGAGTGTATAGACAGTGAGCATACAGACAGTGAGTGTATAGACAGTGAGCGTATAGACAGTGGAGTGACATTCAAGACTGCCTAATTCTGCAATGAAATCAGGTCATCACACAATGTTCTCAGGATCCCCTTCGTTTCAAAACAATACTTCATGACATGAAGTGCTATGAGTTGAGACAAGTGATGTTCATGTGCCCTGCTCACGCAACAATGCTAGACAGTTTCCTAATGTTCAGTGTGTTTGACATAACTATGTATCAGACAAGACAGTTGCTGGGGTGATTATCACAATAAAATAGAATTTCATATAACTAGCTGACTGTTAGTTCATTGTTCATTTTAAAGATCATCTTCATGGCACATCGGGCATGACCATAAGTACTCTGACTTCCTCCTGAGTATGTCTCCAAGTGTTTTTAGGCTAACAACTCTCATTCTGTTCTGGCTGATGTTAACAATGGGTGGCACTCGCACGGTTTTATTACACCACTAGTGTTTGAACATGGCCCATGATTACACCACTAGTGTTTGAACATGGCACATGATTACACCACTAGTGTTTGAACATGGCCCATGGCCCATGTGTTGAACATGGCACATGATTTACACACTAGTGTTTTTGAACATGGCCCATGATTTACCACTACTGTGTTTGAACATGGCACATGATTACGCAACTAGTGCTTGAACATGGCACATGATTACGCAACTAGTGCTTGAACATGGCACATGATTACGCAACTAGTGCTTGAACATGGCACATGATTACGCAACTAGTGCTTGAACATGGCACATGATTATGCTACTAGTGTTTGAACATGGCCCATGATTACACCACTAGTGTTTGAACATGGCCCATGATTACACCACTAGTGTTTGAACATGGCCCATGATTATGTGTCTAGTGTTTGAACATGGCCCATGATTACACCACTAGTGTTTGAACATGGCCCATGATTACACCACTAGTGTTTGAACATGGCCCATGATTACACCACTAGTGTTTGAACATGGCCCATGATTACACCACTAGTGTTTGAACATGGCCCATGATTACACCACTAGTGTTTGAACATGGCCCATGATTACACCACTAGTGTTTGAACATGGCCCATGATTACACCACTAGTGTTTGAACATGGCCCATGATTACACCACTAGTGTTTGAACATGGCACATGATTACACCACTAGTGCTTGAACATGGCACATGATTACACCACTAGTGCATGAACATGGCACATGATTACACCACTAGTGCTTGAACATGGCGCATGATTACACAACTAGTGCTTGAACATGGCCATGAACATGTTTGCAAACCCCATGATTACACCACTAGTGTTTGAACATGGCACATGATTACACCACTGCTTCCAGGGAAAGCAAATGTGAAACAATAGCATCAACAACATGACAGGTGTACCAACACACATCACAACTTATTGAGAGACATAAATAAAGCTGCTCTAACATATTATGGGATGAAAACCTGATCAACTACTGATAAATCAAAATCTATCTGGAAACAAAATCAGGGGAGCACTAAGAAAATGATGGATGGGCAAAAAGGAAGCAATAAACATAGTCACAATACAACCAAAGCCTTGGAGTGGAATCTTCACCTAAACACATTTCTTTTGACTACACAACAGACAGAAGTAGAGCACCTCAACTATGGCTTCAAATACCAGGAAACCTGTGACTACACGACAGACAGAAGTAGAGCACCTCCACTATGGCTTCAAATACCTGGCGACCTGTGACTACACAACAGACAGAAGTAGAGCACCTCATCTATGGAACTATGGCTTCAGGTGATTAAAAACTTGGAGCTAGATTACAGATAGTAGTTTTGCACCTCGGCTATAAATTCAAGAGACAATCATGAAAATGATAGAGATATGCAAATATGACAAAACCTTTGCTACATTCAGTAAGTAGCTTTCCTAGAACCAAAATAATACAGTGATTTGATTAAAGTGCAAGCTAACAAAGAGATAGTTGTCTGGGAGTAAAAAAACCCAAGCCATGATCTTTTACAGGATCCTTACAAACATGTACCAACTGGATGCAGCAATAACACCAACAACCTGCATAGTTATGCAATACTTATTCACCTCTACACTATACAGTCTAGAAACTTCATGTACAACAGTAGACTGGATGCAGCAATAACACCAACAACCTGCATGGTTAAGCAATACTTATTCACCTCTACAGTCTATACAGTCTAGAAACTTCATGTACAACAGTAGACTGGATGCAGCAATAACACCAACAATCTGCATGGTTATGCAAAACTTATTCACCTCTACAGTCTATAAACTTCATGTACAACAGTAGACTGGATGCAGCAATAACACCAACAATCTGCATAGTTATGCAATACTTATTCACCTCTACAGTCTATACAGTCTAGAAACTTCATGTACAACAGTAGACTGGATGCAGCAATAACACCAACAACCTGCATAGTTATGCAATACTTATTCACCTCTACAGTCTATACAGTCTAGAAACTTCATGTACAACAGTAGACTGGATGCAGAAAATAACACCAACAACCTGCATAGTTATATGCAATACTTATTCACCTCTACACTCTATACAGTCTAGAAACTTCATGTACAACAGTAGACTGGATGCAGCAATAACACCAACAACCTGCATAGTTATGCAATACTTATTCACCTCTACACTCTATACAGTCTAGAAACTTCATGTACAACAGTAGACTGGATGCAGCAAAAACACCAACAACCTGCATAGTTATGCAATACTTATTCACCTCTACACTCTATACAGTCTAGAAACTTCATGTACAGCAGTAGACTGGAAGCAGCAATAACACCAACAACCTGCATGGTTATGCAATACTGATTCACCTCTACAGTCTACTGATTCTCGTGACTCTCCCTATACCACCTTGGTCAATGTTCACTACTATGTACAATTTGCAGCCATCATAAAGGAACCCAACTAGGACATACTACTACAAGTTTCCCAGACCTAGCAACTCAACATCTGTAGTTGGCTGGGAACAGTGAGGCTGTTGACAAGTGACATGATCACGTGCATTGCACAGTTACACAGGTACTGCCTCATCTCTAAACTGTCATCTCTGGGACAAAGAACAGAATGTGTTCTGTTTAACAATGGAGGTCTTACCAGTGTTTAAAAAAAGGCGTGACTACAGTTAAGTTGATATCTGAAAGTGAATTCTTTGTGTTCTCTGAGCTCTTCCAGTTCCTGCATTTCAATTCTATTTCTTTCCCATCCATTTAGAGCTGGGCCATAAAATTCTTCTTCTTATTGTAGTCACTGATAAAGACTTTGGTCAAAAACGTTTGTGTTTAGTGAATCAGTCAATGCATTTACTGAAACTTCAATTGATCGCGTGTGCAACTGCTGATTTGTTGGGAACTTCTGCAACCATCGATAATAAAGTGCATTTCTCATGTCAAACTGTTTGTGTTAGCACTTCTGATGGCTACCGTATGCTTTTAATGCGTGTGTATGCTAGTGCATATGCTGAGGACAGCAGTCTCTCAATCTTTCCACAAGGGACTGTGATAAACATTCTGTGTGTTTTTCATTGGCACAGGAGCGGAGAAACTATGGGGTGACTCGTTTGCTTTGAAGCTGAAACTAAGATTACCAAGATTACTGAAACCTACAAGACTGTCATGTTAGAAAGACCTGGTAATAAAAGTTAATGAAATGGTTTTGAGTTTGCTATGAAACATCAAGATTATAGTTTATTTTGTATCTTTAAAAAACAAAAAAAAATAACAGATAAACAGAGAAAACAAAAAGCACCTACTCTGATGAATTTTTTCCTGGTTTTCCTCCAACTGGTACAGGTTTTTTATCTTTCTTCTTTAGATACTGCTTTAGTTTCTCTGCTCTATCTAAGTATTGAATACATTTTGCCCGAATACTTTCCTTTGCTTTATCACTTGTAGCTTCATCTACAATGCATAACAAGGAACACATAATTAGGATACAATTAGGCTACGAATGACACACACACATTTTACAAGCCTTTATGTATTTAATAAATTGCCAAGAAAATTACTTTTAGTTAATTTCAATTTTAAAATTCCAGTTAAACATTTGAGTGTCCAACCAACTTAAATGTGGTATTCCCTATTCCCTATGAGTTGTGGAAGCTACAATAACACACTGGTTGGCTCACTTGCTTGTTGGTGTGGTGGCTGTATGTTTGAATCTTTAGAGGCAGATTTTTATGTTTTTTTATTTAGGTGGGCTCCAAGGCCCACTAAGCCTAACATGAAGTAAAAGAAGAAGTACTGAGAAGTCAAGGCAGTCAGCAGATTCTAGTGATTACATCACCCCTGCAGAATGATCTCTACCAAATATAGAACTAGCACCATATGTCCAACATACCTCAATGAGTAGGACAAGGACTTTTTGTACCCAGAAGTCTGCCAGGCTTTGAAAATACAGTAAAATCCAGCTTTGTACATTTTTTCAGTTGGGTTTCAAAAATAATTTTTTTTTGGGGCATCAATGACAAATGTCTATGACCATTTATACTTAAAACATATATTTCGGATCAGGTCAATGGGTCTGATGACTATTAGAAACTTAAAAGCTGACCCTGTATAAGAAGTGTTCTAAACTCTATGACAACGACAGAGAAACTATTATTTACATTTATATAACAAGAACTGTGTATTTCTGGGTACTGCAAGAGCAATGGTATTATCTCTCATGCAGGTTTCCAGCATGAAAACATTACAGCATACATTTGTTTAGATTTAAAAAAAAATTTGATACATCATCATCATGTGCCCTGCCAACTTGTGAAGGCGCTCATGTGTCTCTATAGATCACGATCCCTGGTTGCCTGGATCAGCTCTCTTGAGGATATCCCTATATGCCATCGTTTCAGCCCATCCAGCATCATCTCTCTTGGTCTGCCTCTACCCTCTTTTCCACTGATCTTTCCAGTTGTCACGATGTTCTCCAATGTCTCTCTTCTCATTACGTGGCCAAAGAACAGTGTTTGTCCCTTTCTTATTGTTGTATATAGAGATATACTTTCATTAGCCTCTTTCAAGCAATCGTTATCAGTAACTCTGGCCGTCTAAGGTATTTGTAACATTCATCTCAGAAACCACATCTCGGTTATTGATACAGCAGTGTAATAACACAGTGTTTTACTGAACACCTGCTTTTCTCATAAGATGAGAACATCCAGTGTGATTTTCATTGTGTCAAAGGATACATGTTTTGTCTTCACTCCTGCATGTACAAGACTGCTAATGCATATGAAGAAACTGTTAGAGCAAGTGCTAATAACAAAGCATGGAGATTTTTTCTGAAGATATGTGTAATGCAAAGTGAGGCTAGTGATTCCCATTAAATTACATTAAGCACCAAGATGTAACCGTATAAAGCCTTGTTTCGGGCAGGTACATAAACTAAGACAAAAATCACAACACTGAGTCACATACACTTGATAGCATGAAGGAAGTATTCCACTGCATGTTCATAACATTTCAAGGCCTCTTCATAGTTTTTCTTTTTGTCCTCTTCTGTAGCTTTTGTCACCAACTCAATAGCTTTCTGAAATAAGCAACATCAACTCTTATCTTCTGTCGTGGAAATACTCAATCTGACTCAAACTTCTGACACATAAAAATTTAGTCTGAATATGTTTAGATCAACTAATATAAATATAAATCTATCAGGCTGCTTTCTTCTAGCTTTCCAACAAGTCTTACACAATGTGTATGTAATATCCATTTCATAATTTATATGGTTGTTAAACATTTCCAGATATCTGAAGATCCCCCCACTTAGATTATAATTATTTCAAAACTGCTCATAGTTACACTGTCATAGTCCTGTTCTTTTCTGTTATTGCTATCAAATACCCATCTTCCTACATGTTAAAAACATGCATTTTTCATTATGGCCTTAATATTAAATTCAAATATTATGGGTATATTATTTATACTGTTGCTCTTAAATGTCCATATGTCTACCTATATAATCAATATATATATATGTTTTGTAACTCATTCAATATCACACAATACACCAAATGTTATTTATTTCAACTGACTTAAGATGTGTGCACCACACAATCTAACCCATTGGAGTGCTAATTCTTCCTTCACAACTCATTATGTCCCTCAGCATTATTTCAACTTCTCAGAACCATATACTTATTAGCCCCCCCCCCCCCCCCCAAGTTTTTAGTGCTTGGTACTGTCAGCATCTGCGGCTTTGGCGTTGCGAACAAGCTTCGTAATGCTGGGGTGTCGTGTTCGATCCCAGGTGCTGGCCTTGCGCTGTGCGTTGGTTTCGACAGTGGTATCGAGAGGCTGACCATCCAGAAAGCAATGGCAAACTACAGGATGTAAATTTGCCCAGAAAAACCACAAAGGCCAAAAAATACTGGGGTTGATTCTGAAACGTCCTGTAAAGGATACGCAACTAACTAACTCAAGAGTTAAAGAAGATTACCTGTGATATTAATTTAACAAATTTTAAAAAAAATTTAAGTTAACTTACTGTTGTTGCATTCATCTCTGGCATGTTTTTATTTTTTAAAATCAATTTATATTGAAAAATATTTTAAAATACAAATTATACTTTCTACTTTGCTGTAACTTTTTAATATGTAAATATAAATGGCACAGCACCAAAGAGGTGTTTAGGGAGGGAAAGAACAGGCACAACAATGAACTCCCTATGAAAAAGATGTAATAAAGATATAAAATGTTCACTGCAAAAGCCCTTGAAAAAAGGAAAATTGACTATTAAAAATATCTTCTAATTTTAAAAATGTATGATGTTGAAAGTGTTGAGAAAATAAAATGTTTTTATATTTATATCACATAAAGTACTCAGTACTACATAACATAATGACAAGAGTCTAAATATAGCTATAGACACATTAATCACATTTAAGTGAGTCATTCCATCAAAATGTATAAATACAATTATATATTCCCATTACATTACAAACATTTTCTACACCTATCGGAAAACACGACTTCCCACATACTTCACAGCCCGCGATCGGTGGATTAGTCTGGGTGGACGTAACTACTACTCCATCTCTTTAAAAAAAAAAGTAAACAGTGCCACGTTCCAACACCCACTTGCTAGCAAAATAGTAATACAACTCTCTGTCTCTCGGTGAGATTTTTTAACGTTATGTATTCTAAGCACCAACACATATGGCATATATATATATATATATATATATATATATGTCAGAAGGCTTTGGATATTTTACCGTTTATTCCCTTCTGTGAAGCAGATGACGGCATCTTTATTTTAGGTACTTTAGGGTAGTAGAAGATCAAAATAGGTTCTTAGGTGGGCCGTATCCAGATGTGAGAAGTGGCAGAAGAAGTCAAGTGAAACAATCAATAGGATTAATAATTAGAATTACGTGAACATAAATGAACTGTGTATTTGTACAAGCGAGATATATAGTATAATGAAGAAACACTAATGATAGAACTAATCAACTAGCCTGTAAAGTTCCTTGACTGGACATGACGAGTCCTATTATATCAATTTATGTCCAAGCCCATCGACAGTTCCAAACTAAATAATGGCGAACAACAACTTCCGTCCTGATCACGTGACAAGTTCACAATGAGAAATCTTCTCTTCTTCCACCTTGTACGAAGTGTCTGGGGAGATGTAACATTCGTTGATGAGCTCTGTCAAGAGCACTATTAATTAAGACTGATGTTCATTTCTGTAGGGCTGTTCTTGATGCCATCACTCGATATTTTCCCGGGGTCTTTCACTCGCTCTATACCTGTTGTAACGTTTTAGTGTGGCTCGCTGTGGCAGATACCAGGGCAATTTTGTTAAGTGTCCAAACCACTTCATTTGTTGTTCTTTGATGACCTGTAAGACTGGCTTTATTCCTAGCATTCTTATGATTTCGTATTCTGTCTTTCCTTGAAACTCATGCAGCTCTTCTAAGGCATTTCATCTCTGTTGTCACAATTTTACGTTTATTGGAGTGTGTAAGTGTCCACGTTTGGCACTGATAGCATAGTGTTGACCAAAAAATAGTTCTCATAAGATTCACTATTTAGTACTCCGGGGTATCTGCTTGTGTGTCAACAGGGGAGATAGTTGCCCCATTTCTTGATTAGCTTTGGCACATCTCGAGCTAATTTCTCTGTCCAGTTTTCAGTCAGTATTCAGACCTCCGATGTAGCAGCAATACCATATCTTGTCACTAGCGGTTATAACATCTTCTATTCTTCTTTGATCCTTCTGTTAGAAAACTGATAACAGGAGGCCGGTAGCCTTTATCAATGCTAAATGCTGTTGTGCAGTCTGAATCTTACTGTGTCCAACCAACACAGCTGATCTACGTTGATTTTGAATAGATTAAATAGGCCAGGCCAGGTTGCTTCTCTGTTAGCAGCATACAGTTGACAGTGTTAGGAGTATTTATTGTTGCCCTGTTGCAGGGACTATCTCCGTGTTTCCTACACTAGAAAAATGAGAACATTTGTTAATGGTCTGTTGTGCCTTGTCCTTAGTCTGGATATAACACACTGTCCGTCTTGGGTGGTGGGGGAATTGAAACAGCCTTGAGTATAAAATTTGACGTGACTATCCAGCGACCTGTCTTGGATACAATACAATGTATGTGTGGATAGGAATGATCGGGTAGCCACGACCTCTTCACAGGGGCGCAGAGATATATTCGAAGATACACGAGTTTTTTGTTTTTTTTTAAGTTTTTTTTTTTTAATCACATACGAATAGTCAAAATGTTACTTAAGTAAGGGCGCCGTGGAAACATGTTAACTGGAAAAAAAAAAAAGGCGTCGCGACTAAGAAAAGTTTAGGAAACACTACTCTAAACAATGTTATTATAATATTTAGAGTGATAGTGTGGAACATAAATTCGCATGTGCTGATCCAGATTTATAGAAGTAGATAAAAGAAAAAGAGACTGAAGTAAACACTAGTTAGACAATACAAAAATAAAATCAGCACAGTGAATACACACCGGGTTTAGAACTTGTCACCTCTAAATGATGTCATCGCTTTACAGTTCGAACAAAAGTACATCGACGATTAGAGGATGGGCGGCATCATTCCTCTTACACACCTGGGTTTGATGGTATTTTTTTTTAGTGCATAACAATAATAATAATATTGTGGCATACTTGATTTACACTGATATGTGAGTTTTTATAAAATTGACATTTTATTTCCTCTTTAGTTCTGTACAGTTTTGAGTACAGTGTTAACTTATTGGCCAAATACAGTAGAACCTCGCTTGACGAGCACCTCTTATAACGAGTAATTCGCATAACGTGCAAAATTTTTTTTTTTAATGACTTGCTTAACGAGCGACGTTTCGCATAACGAGTGGCGAGGAGAGGGGAAGTCCCGAACTCTGCACATGTTACATCAGTCTGTTTAGCACTCGTTCCAGTAGCATCGTAGTGTCGCTTGTGATCACACATTTTCTCAAACTTATGTTAGATTGTGATAGATGTAAAGGAATCCTCCAAGCCTACAAGATGACCTCCCTGAAGAATTTAAGTTAATCAAGGTCCAGTTTCTGCCTCCCAACACCACTCCATTACTCCAGCCCATGGACCAGCAAGTTATTTCTAACTTTAAGATGCTCTACACTAAAGCACTCTTCGAGCATTATTTTCAGGTGGCTGAAGGGACAATCGTCACTCTCATAGAGTTTTGGAAAAATCATTTCCACATCGTTGCCTGCCACAAGATGATCGACAAGGCGGAAGAATAGGTTACCAAGAGAACCATAACTTTTGCTTAGAAGAAGCTTTGGCCGGAGAGCGTTGTCGATTCGTGACTTTGAGGGGTTCGAGACAGTACCTGTGGAGCCTGTAGTCAACGAGATTGTGTCTTTGGCCACTACCATGGGATTGTAGGTGGATAACAGTGATATTGAAGAGCTTGTGAAAGAGCACAGCCAAGAGGTGACCACCGAAGAGCTTATGGAGTTGCACTGTGTTCCACAGCAAGAAGTTTTGAAGGAAAGTTTGTCAGAGGAGGAGAAGGAGGTAACAGAAAAGCAACAATTTTCTGGCGAAAAAAAGAGAAATGCTGAAAGCATGGACAACTGTTGCATCTTATTTTGAGAAGTGGCTATGCGCGTTGCAAATTTATTTAATGATAATGCTGTGTCGCATTTTCGCCAAATTTTGAAGCGTCGACAAAAAACAAATGACTCTAGACATCTTTCTAGTAAAAACAATAATTAGCTATGAATCATAGTTATTTCTAATTTTTTTTTCTACAAGTGGGTTTTTCCAGGTGGGTTCGTTCCGCGTTTAAAGAAAAGATGAAGATCATTCACTTTCCTTAACAATATGTATATAATTTTCTTTGAATAAACGTTTTACATAGCATTATGTGAGTATTTTTGTTCGACATGCAACGCATTATCGTATTTTACATTAATTTATATGAGAATTTTTTTTTCCACATAACGAGTGTTTCGCTTAACGAGTATGATTCTGGATCGAATTATGCTGTACTACCTTCCTTAAAAGCTCTAGGCTGGACATTCTTGTAGGACTTGTTAGGATGGTTGAACGCATAGCCCACATGGGCACAACGGTGAACTACTCATATGAAGCCTGCACTACAACACTTATTCTGGATCTCTCAGTCATGTAACGGTGTCTGGACGCGATAACGCTACTAATGTTACATAATTTCTTATGGTTTATACAACGGATCACGGCTAGCTCCAGATTTATTAGAATTTGCAGCCTAACGTGCAACGGATCAACATCATGACACAAGGGCACCAAACCATAAGTGCTCCGTTCTACTTATAGCTCAAGCCTGAGTGCAAAGAATCTCAGCACAGTGCACGAATACCTTGGCACTGGCGAGTATCCTAAAATACTTTTGGTAGATTTTCAACCGCAAATTTTGACCGGGCAGCGCCGTTAAGTTACTCTTTTTTTATTTCCAACTACCAAGGGATTTTTTTTACGTGCGCAACAATACACACGGGCGTCCGATCTTGCTACCAAGCTACCAGGAGAAATTACTAGAAGTCAACGTGAAATAATCCCAGCCTTCGCCGGGGCCTGAATCCGGGACCTCCAGTACTCGAGGTGGACGCCATGCCTCGAGACCACTCAGCCTTTCTGTGCCACAGGTGCTCAACTGCAGCTTGTCCTGTGTTGCCACGCTTGATAGGAGCTATCAGGAGCAGAATCCAGTTGCTGTCAATGCAGAGATCCACGCGCTTATGTGTGAAAATTCAAAAGAAGTGGGTGTACTGATTTACACAAATGGGTCCGCTGTAAGAGGACAAAAAAGTGCATGGGCATTTACTGCGTGCTCTGCAGGCAGAACAGTCCAGGAGAACAGTGGTGCCTTTTGTATGACTATTAGCAGCATGACAATGGAGGTGATGGCGATATCGGTGACACGAGCTTTCATATGGCTAGCATCGCAGGGCTGTTCTTACGTATGTGTGCTGAGTGATTCCATGAGCATGATCCGGCGGGTAAAGACTGGCTTTATACACAGACAGTGGATCAAGTCATTGTAAAACTCTACTGTGCGTGGAGTTACCTTTATCTTTGTACCAGGGTATGCGAGTGTTGTTGGCGATAAAAGAGCAGACAGATTAGCCGGCTCTGCCTTAGTTACAGAGGACCGGCCCATGGATCATGCAGCCATTGTTAATGCCATTAGAGAGGTAGGACGTACGGATAATATTGGGAGCAGCATTTCCACATCTTTGCTAAGAGTGCAAGAACTGGGAGTAAAGATCGGAGCGGACGCAAGATAAGTCTTGTCAACCAAAAAAGGACTTGGACTGTCAACCGCGGGACGCTGCTGTATATGTAGAAGAGGAAATCTGATCCCATATGAACGTGTCCGGAGTGCCGTGAAGAAAACCCAAATCATAACTCAAAGACTCAGCGCCCCTGTAGCATTTCTCGTGCCCATCTACTAGTAACTCCTCCTGCCGGTGCTCCAACAACAGTTTGTGAGTCTCTAAGATTTAGACCAGGAAGGAACGATCGAAGTGTCAACGTCTTACAGAGAAGAATCATCAAGAAGGAATGATCGGCTAAGAGTTCTAATGACATCGGCTCGTTCACCCACGACCAACTCTATTCTGGAGAAGGCGGTGGTTCACCCGAAATAGACTAAATTTGGCAACCCGGTTCAGGACGGTGCACAAAAGAGTGACGCCGGATATCCGGTACATTTGCAAATTTGTGCCGTCATTGCTCTAGGAACAAGGAATACCGGCGTTATTATTGTTGTTATGTGAGAATTGTGTAACAATTTCAAGTAGATCGTGGTTATAATTTATCTCTATCAACAAATAAACATGTCGCCACCAGACCACCACGTAAAAATTAACAAAGTTGTAGTTCACCCGCTCGTTCTGTTAAGTGTTGTTGATCACTTCAACAGAATGGGAAAGGTGGGGAATGTGAAAAGAGTTGTCGGGGTTTTACTTGGGTCCAACAGGCAAGGCGTCCTGGATGTTTCCAATAGCTTTGCTGGTAAGATTTTGAAGTTTTATTATGTCCTAATTAATATGCTGTTTAAAGCTTTCAACTATTTCCTCTCAGATACAATATATTTATTTGCCCATTTTAATGTTATTTTCGTTCTTTTGACTTTGTAAATGTAGCAGTTAATTACAAACTTAATTAAACATCTCAATTCTCAGCTTCCTGGCGCAACAACAGAGACTTCATTATGATTTGATTATTATAATTATTAATTGACTGTTGAGTCTATGTGGCGTATTGGTGAAGCTTGCACTTTGTAAATGGGGGATTTGTTTTTTGGACAGAATTTCCAGTTCTTGCATTTTATTTGGGCCAGTCTCGGGGTGTTGTCACTAGAACTAAAAACAATTTCAAGTGCTTTATGTGTAGATACTTTAGTCAAATTTTTAAAATGCCCTCTACACCAATAAAACCAGCACAGTTAGATAGCTGTAAACAATCTCTTTCCAACGGTACCTTATTTAGGCTTGTATGTCATTTCTGAGCTGAGATATGTAAGTTTTTGTGGAGATGAGATGTAAAAAACAGCTGTTGAAGTGAAAACTTGCGCCCAGAAACAAGAAGTTTTCTCTGCGCAACCAAACTGCACACTTTCGTTTTGGCTTTCTTTACATTGGACAAGATGGCAGACATTTTTTCTCAGACACAGCCACATAATAGCGATTGCCTGAAAAATGTCACTGTAAATCGAATTAGCCATACCTAGGAAAGAAATTTTATATACAAATGTAAAATTGAACGGAGAATTCAATTATAACTAGCATTACCATGTCTGGTAATGTTTAAGGCCTAAAGCCAACCTTGAATACAAAAATTATACTTACCGCTATTTTCAATCAAACTGATGTAACAGAAAAACAGAGGACGTCTGGCTGTCGTAGACATGCACTGTTAATCGGGTTCGTTCCCGCCGTTTTTAGCTATTTATAGCTGGTGAAAATCACACCAATCGCAAAATTTCATGAGAGATTAGGACCCATCCCGAAACCCCAGCCGACATTTCCCGAACAAGTTTCAAACGGTTTCCATGGTAACGGAAATTGCCCAAAAAGACCGCAAATTTCCGAACACCGTAGTCGCTATTATATGAGTATGAGGAATGTAAGCAAACGCCCACCTGCTTTGGTCTTGGAGTTGGCTTATTAAAGTCTTAAAGAATCAACATCATATCTCACAAAGGGCACACCCATTCATGCTCCGTCTCTTGCAGCAGATGTCTTAAGGTGTACATGCTAACTGTTCCCATAGCAAACTGATTATACAATATACACACATTCTCTTCCTGTCATACGTCCCTCCTTGCCAGATCCACACTTAATCCCCTGTTCACACATTCTTGCACAATGTTATTTCATCTAATCTCGTATCTTCTATCAACAGTCATTCATAAATGATCTTCAGATTATCTCCCTTGTCCGTTATTATAAGTGTTCCAATAGCTTTGGCTTTTGTAGCCAGAAAATCTGCTCTTTCATTACCTCGTACTCCTGTATATCCCAGACAGTATATCAATGAACTGATGCTTGGTATCCACTTATGCCACATTAGTTCCTTTTGAACCTTCCACAATGCCAACAGAGAATCAGACACAATATTCATCTGCCAAATTTGTTTTTTTTTTGCTATTTAAATTAGAGCTGCAGTGATTGCCTCTCCTCTGCTTCCATCCTCATGCTTGAAGTTTTAGATAAAAAAGCTCCATTTTGTTCTGCCACAAACGAGAGAGACTAAGCCATATGTGATAAAGTATGGTGCACAAAATCAATTTTCTCACCTTCCTCTAATACTTTCCTGATCAGCAATCTGCTGCATTACTGTCACCCATTACTAGGGGTGTTTAGAGTTTTTTTCCGTTCAAAATGCCTGATTTTCTAAGTAAAATGTATTTTAAAATCTGAAACGAGCTTAGGGTTTTGAAACCTTCAGTGTGTCATTTTAAATGGTTGCTACACATAATAAAAAAAAAGATATACAAATATAACATTATCTGCACAATGCTGACCACATCACCCATCTTGTGCCGATTGGTCTATAAAAATATAGGACTAGCCCTATATGCCCTATACGAAGGTGTGGACAAGGGTCCTTTTTTTTAAATAACATATGATTGTGCTGGCCATCTTGAATTTGTTTGGCTATTAATAGAAATTTCAGGAGTGTTTTAAAGCCCTAATCTTTTTTTTTCCCCCAGCTTTTAGTTTTAGTGAATTTAAGAGTGAGTGCAATAAAATGTTTGGAATATGGTTGGTGATGAATAAAATAAGCTAATAGGAGCAGCAATTTAATGATTGACCAAATATTTTAACATTAAAAGCTAATACAAATGTGAATATAGGGGGACACAAATTTGTTCAAATATATTTGTCATGTTACAGTGAGCATCAGTGAATGAAAAAGAAGAAGATTAATCTCATCTTGATCCTCTAGTACCTTGTGTCGAGGTGAAATATCATGTATGGGAAAGCACCTGTTTGTGCCCTAAATGAAAACTCCCTCTGTCCATCGCTTGAAAAGTTGGCCTCTTCTTCACTTCCCACCTGGTCTTATATTCTTCTTCTTCTTTGCGTTCACCAGCTGTAAACTCTCGATGGAAAGTTCTGCTTGTTTGTCCACTTCTAGACTGCAGTCCTGTTCCAGAACCTGAGTGTTGCATGTGCATCCGTTTAACAGATCTGTTTCATTTGTATGCAGACTGTTGGTTCCTTGCCTCTCAGGCAGACGCACTCCGACTTCGAAGGTCCTAATTAGTCAACTCTTTCGACATGCTTTTGGGAAGGCAGTGGGTCTATTCTTGTTTTCCCTATAAGAGGGCCCGGAACCCACACGGGGTTCTTATATTATTCATATGTAAGAAAATATACATGAAGAAAGTGTATCCATCATGAATAACTCTAAAAATATTTGATTTTGTGTTCCCAGATCATGCTTCGACAGAGTAAGGAGTTTCTGGGAAATTTTGACTTTGTGACTGCTTTGAATATCTAGGCTCTAAAATAAATAGCTATTGAGACTGTTTGATAGAAATTAAAAGGAGGATGGCCATAGCAATGCAAAGATTGAACAGCCTTAAAAGTCTATAGTTAAGCACCAGCAAGGAGATCAAAATTAGAATTTTGGGAGCATGCATCATCCATGTGGCTACATACGGATGTGAGTCGTAGACTATCTTTCAGACCTTAAGAAAGAGAATAAGGGCTTTTGAGCTAAAATGCTAAAGAAAGATTCTCAGAATATCTTGCGCAAAGAAGAGGAGAAATACTGACATCTAGAAAGATCTGAACATCAAGGAGATTGGCTAATAAGCAGCGTTCCTGTCTCGGAAGCTGAAATATTTTGGTCGTATCAAGCGCCACGACGGATTGGAAAAAAATTACAGCAGAAGGCATGGTACCAGGAGGGAGGGGCAGGGGCTGACCGACACGAAGATGGGCACAGGATATAAGTGGCTCCTTGAGTATGAAAGTACATGAGGTGGGAGAATTGGCGAGACTGTGATGAAAGTGACGTTCTGCAAAGGACCTGCTACATGATGATGATGATGACAACTTTATGGTTGACATTTTACAGACTAGATCATAATCTTATGTAATACTTTGCTAAAACACTGCTTCAATACTTGTTTTCAGTACCTTTTGATGAAGATGACAAGGATCAGTCTGTCTGGTTCTTAGATCATGATTATCTGGAACATATGTACGGCATGTTTAAAAAAGTTAACGGTGAGTAAATAGATGTTGACAATTTTTCATATAAACTGTTAAAGACAAATAAAAAATGCCAGTTATCTGTTGGTGCTCTGAGTTTAAAAAAGTTATCTAATGGTGTTTTTTTTTTAGTCGATGGTAAAGCCTGTATGCATGAAAACTATTCATGATCTGGATGCAAAGGAATGGTCACTTGATTGGTTGAATGCAAAGGTATTCTTATGTGAAGTTTAGACAGTTTCACTAATTAAAGTAGAGATTTAGAATGTTAAAATTATGACAAAATTTGTTCTTTTCAGTGGCTAATTTTGTGTGTGTTATAGTAGTAATGCCTCATCGGACAACTAAGCAGTTAAAAAAATTTTTTTTTAATTTTAAATTTTTGTGTGTAAAATCAATAGAACTAAATGTCAGACACAGAATGATAAATCAGACATCCTGTTTTAATTCAGAAGCTAAACATGTCACTTATGTGACAAATCTGGCAAATTTGTTTTTTTTTTTTTTGCTACTTAAATCAGAGCTGCAGTGATTGCTTCCATCCTCATGCTTGAAGTTGTCGATCAAAAAGCTCCATTTAGTTCTGCCACAAACGAGAGAGACTAAGCCATATGTGATAAAGCAGGTGCACAAACTAAATTTTCTCACCTTCCTTTAAAACTTTCAGTAGCTAATTTTTTTTAAAAAATATTATTAGTAATGCCTCATCGGACAACTGACCAGTTAAAAATTTTTTTTTTTTAAATTTTTGTGTGTAAAATCACTAGAACTAAATGTCAGACACAGAATGATAAATCAGACATCCTGTTTTAATTCAGAAGCTAAACATGTCGAAAAGTTTTTTTGCATAGGTTTGAAAAAATATTGACTAGACAGAAGGATGTTATCATTATTGAAATTATTATGTAGTTGGTAAAACCTGTCTCTGAGACTGCTTGCATTACCTTACTGTCAGCTAGAGAAGCTGGGAGGCATACACATTGAAGCTATTTGATTCATTTTGGAATGTACATCGGGTATGTCATTTGTCTGCATTTCATTGTGTTGATAGGTCTAGGGTGTTCTCATCATTCTGTAAACCCACAGGTTTGCATCTTCCACATAATTTGTCACCATTCAACTGATTGTTTATGATTCACTTTCATGTACCAGGATCGGTTCTATATAACCCATTAAAACCTCCTGTCTCAACTCAGTTGACAAAGACAGAATATTCTTCCTGTAAAATTCTGCTTTTGTTTGATGCTTTCTACATTTAACTTCTTTAACCCTCCCAGCCGGAGAAAGCCATCATGAAGCCATCTCTCCAGTATTTGAGGGGTTGTTGATGTCATGAAGTCATTAAGCAGTGACCACTACACTGATGTAATAGCTGAATTTGTTGCAACTGCTAAGTATTCACACACAAAAAAAGAGGTAGAGTCGGGTGATGTGAACCAGCGTCATTGCACATGGTTATAAACCATAAGTGCTCTGCCACCAGTACTGACAGCTGATAAGAAATTGTCCGCCTGTGTCGCCGTCCGCACGTAACTCCATAGCTACAGTGACGTTCCTCCATTCACCCCAGAGTGTCAACTCTGTTACCCATTTCCTAGAGACTGGGTGAACCCCGGGAACCGCTGGTTTCGAACACCGACCATGGGCTGCAGCGAGGGGCAGCTGGATTTTAAAGCGAGTCTTCCTCTGGTATACAGATGTTGTGGTATTGTTATATTACTACCAACCTCCCACTCAGAGTTTGCACGGGGGCACGCTGAGAAGAAGATTCTGACAGGGAGAAAGGGTTAACACATCTACTGCTCTCAGTGTTACCCATTACTGGCCAGTCTTCTCTCAGAGTGTTCTCAGTGACTTTGATGTTGCCTTTTAGAGGACATTGTTTCCTTGTAATCTTTTTCTGCTATTTAAATAACGCATTTGTAACCTCAAGTTTGAAGCTGAAAGGAACAGCGAACACTGAACATTTAGTCCAGCATTTCTTTTAACCATCAATGAAGTTTTGTCAAGCATTTCATTATGCATTTATATACGTGTCAGTAAAGCTTAATGCAGCGTTTTAATTATGAGACAGCCATTTATAGGTAATTTTTTGTGTTGTGGCTCTCATTAGTTTTGGTAGACTGTATCTTGTTTAGTAATATTTCACTTGACTTAATCTTGTTTCACTTGTTAGTTTAGCAGTATTTCAACTCCGTGTTACTTTTTGAATATTTTCATGTCTTAGTGAAGCCTAAACACTTTTTTATCTCTCAGTCGCTAGAACTCTATGTGAAGTGTAACAGTGACTAGCTGTTTTGTTCAATGTAACATTTAAAATTTATTTTCTTTTTACAATCCCAAAATTAATTGGATCCTAAGAAGTTCTGCTTCTTACATATGAATGAATCGAGAATTGATATCACTGTCCCACACATTGTTACTTTCTGAGTTTGAAAAGTTCCCTAGTTTCTAACAGTTCATTTCCCCTTGTGGGATCCAGGGCTCCATTGTGGTGGAAAAAAAAAACAGAATTGCCCCACTGCCTACCCTAAGGCATGTCATAAGAGTTGACTAATTGAGAGCTTCCTTTGGAGTCAGGGCGCATCTGCTTAAGAGGCAAGGAACAAACAGTCTGCATACAAATGAGTCAGATTTGTAAAATGAATGGGCATGCAACACTCAGGTTCTGGAGCAGAACTAGAGTCCAGAAGTGGACAAAAAACCCAAAACTTTCTGCTGGAGTTAACAGCTGGTTAACGTGAAGAAGATGGGAGAACACTTTATCTCCTTGGAAATACTTTAGACGGGTTGTTCAGTTCTTGTAATCACCATTTTAATGGCACCTTGAGTAGTTGGTCTTTTGTGGCTCTGCTATGAAGATGCAGCTGTCAACCTCTTAGAGCTGTCTAGCTGGTTCAAGATGTTATATTATGCTACCTGGTGAGGCATTGGAACTCAGGTGTGACTCTCTTTTGATTGAAACCAGATTCTGTGGAACTGCATAAAAATTTTAATTTAAACAATTTATAGGTTTTAATTCAGTATTTTTTTAAATCTTGAAATGAGATGTGTTATTTATTATTTTAGATATGTTTTTACTTTCCATATTTAAAACACGGCTTTATGTGGTCCTTACCTATACAGATTTTAAATTGCCTCAACATTTATATAAATACCCCATCCCCCCATTCCTAATTTTTTTAAAGCATATAATAATTTATAACAAATTGTAAAACCAAAGACAAATGTGTGCACTGTCTTGTTTTCTGAAGCTCGAGAAAGAATTGTTGGCTGGTACCACACAGGACCCAAACTGCACCCCAATGACATCGCCATTAGTGAAATGATACGCCGATACAACCCAGCCGCGGTATGTTGAAAACCTGCTCACTTTCGTCAGATACTTGCCTACTATAAAGATGTACTGCTTTTTTCATGCTTATGGTTAGATATCTAGGTTTGCTGTGATACCTAGAGCATATATGAATTAATGAATCAAGAATTCTTCTTCTTCGCTTTCACCAGCTGTAAACTCTGGCCGAAATTTCTATTTGTCCGTCTAGTTCTGGAATGTAGTCCTGTTCCAGAACCTGAGTGTTGTTGTGTGTGCATCCGTTTGACAGATTTGACTAATTTGTCTGCAGTCTGCTGGTTCCTTGCCTCTCAGGCAGATGTACTCCGACTTCAAAGGAAGCTCCCAATTAGTCGACTCTTACGACATGCTTTTGGGTAGGCAGTGGGTCTATTCTTCATCAAGAACTGACATCACTGTTCTCGGGACATTCCAACACTTGCCCTGTCCTCTTCTTCAGCAGATAGTACCAGTTGCAACCTGATTAAAAATCTGCCTTTGTTTCTCCTTCAGAGGAGCATATTTTGTTGCCATGAACATAGAGATGTAATTGTAGGCAGTAGGTGTTGCGCCTTGATGGCTTGCTAGCACTAATTATGCCAGACATAGTAACATCGATACAGAATGGCAAAAGCTGATGGATACAGTATCCAGTGTTGTTCTTTATTTGTGCAACAAACTTGGAAATTTGTCATATATTTCCTGGAACATTCTGTATCACAGAAATGAAAAGGACGGATTGGCTGGTATCTTGGGCAGACATGTCAAACTGAGGGTTCCCCGAGGACCATATAAGTCACATTTGTGTTGTCATGACGGCTACACAAGTCACATTTGTGTTGTCATAATGGCCACGTGAGTCACATCTGTGTTGTCATAATGGCCACGTAAGTCTCATCTGTGTTGTCATGAGGGCCACGTAAGTCACATCTGTGTTGTCATGAGGGCCACGTAAGTCACAGCTGTGTTGTCATGAGGGCCACACTGACTAATTGAAGTCATTTAAAAGAAATGACTGCTGACAAAGGGCTGCATGTTTGACATGTCTGATCAAGATTATCTGTATTGGATGTTTTCATATAGACAAATTGTTACTAATCTCCAGTAGTGAAATACTTTATATGACAATGCAGCATGGAATGAGACAACATCATGCAAACTGAAGGAACATGAAATACAAAATAAGCTAGAACTTGTTTTGTAGGGCTGTTAGATGATGTCTATATATGCTTTGATATCTGCTGAGGGAGCTGAAGCACTGATAGGTATCTGACAAGGCTAATGTGACTGGTTTCTGTTGATTAGTGTTGATCAGACTAAATCCAGTACAGTGAAACAAGGGCCTGTCTATACTGTTGGTGCATGGGGGATATAGTGGGGATCTATTCATTTATAGACCAACTGGCACTTCATAGGTTTTGTGCTCAACATCATACCAGTTTGCCTTAACTCCAAAAGACATTTCCTGATACCCATATAAGGTTGGGTTGATCTGGAAGCCTTTGGTATTTAAAACAGTTTGTCTTGTTACATATTCCAGAAACAACAGCTGGCACACAGATATCTAACCATTACACTCTGCAGCTACAGGACTAGATACAAGTTTTCATAAGTTCTGGATTGTTCATTACAAACTACTTCTGTTGTGTATGTAATATTGACAGTTATCTTTTCATGCACTGTTAGATCACAAAAAAAATATGGACCTAATGCCACATCTCCAGTATGCCACAATGTTATGTATTTGTGTTGGCTTTCCTTTCACACATTACTGATCTGTTATAGGTGTTGGTTGTCATAGATGCTAAACCAAAGGAACTAGGTCTTCCAACAGAAGCTTACATTTCAGTTGAGGAGGTTCATGATGTAAGTATTGCATTGTTTACCTGAAATATGTGGTAACCAGCATGATTTTTTTTTTATCTTACCAAGATAAGTCGTCAACAATCTTGAAATGGAAATCCCGGGAACAGCAGTTTAGAATTTAAAGGTTGTAGAACATTGCAGAGCAACTAGAACATTTTTTTTCAGAAAACAAAATAAGGTGGTATTTTATGTTCTTGGTTGTTTGGGGACATTTTCATGCCTTTGTTGATTTTATTATCCTGGACCAGATGTCAAAAGAAAATACCTGTTCTGAATAGTTGAAGTGTTAAGATGCTGAAAATGATGCTATTTTATCCTGGATTGTGGCTTGTCAAGACTGACCAAATTTTTTGTAGACTGTGATATTTAGGTTGCACTTGACTGCACATTCTCGCATCATAGCAACACTCAGGAGATAATTATGGAATAATCCTTAAAAGGACACGAATGCTGTCAGTTTCATTCGTTTCGGGTCATGGAAATATTCACCTTGTGAAGAAGACATGAAAATGAGGATGTATTCGTTCAGTAATTGCAGAAACAGGGAATAGCACATGTGCAGATCAACAAAATATACTGTGCATACAGTTTTGAATAAATAGTTCACCAGAAGACAAATGTAGCAATACTTTGTTAACAACCTCAGGTTTTATTTTCTTTTCTTTACCTGTTCATTCACTAGTGGTACGGATATTTTGGTAATAGTAAAATAGTTAGTGGAAGAAGTGAATATTTCCTGTTTTGTATATGTTTGTGTGGTTATAATAACTAGACGTTGCAGTGACTAGGTTTGTCAACTTAAGGATACTCACTTTGTGTAGGTCAGGGTTGTTCAGCTTAGTTTACTCAGGGGCCACAATGTTGAAAATAGGGATTGTCCAGGCCTGAGGCTCAAGCCCCGGCATAGAGATCATTATTACATGACAGTTGGCAATGATCTGCTGGCTGGGCCTGATCCGCAGATTGCCAGTTGAAGAACCCTGATGTAGATAAGTCTGTCATGTAGCAGTGAAGTGATCTCTAGGCCTGACCCTGATGTAAATAAGTCTGTCATATAGCAGCTGAGTGATCTCTAGGCCTGACCCTGATGTAAATAAGTCTGTCATATAGCAGCTGAGTGATCTCTGGGCCTGACCCTGATGTAAATAAGTCTGTCATATAGCAGCTGAGTGGTCTCTGGGCCTGACCCTGATGTAAATAAGTCTGTCATATAGCAGCTGAGTGGTCTCTAGGCCTGACCCTGATGTAAATAAGTCTGTCATATAGCAGCTGAGTGGTCTCTAGGCCTGACCCTGATGTAAATAAGTCTGTCATATAGCAGCTGAGTGGTCTCTAGGCCTGACCCTGATGTAAATAAGTCTGTCATATAGCAGCTGAGTGATCTCTGGGATCATGTTTTATACTGGTGCCTGGCTACACACATATTTCTGTTTCTGGGTGTGATATTTTGGTGGATATAACTTTTTTTGGTGGATCATGTTTTATATTTTGGTGCCTACTGGGCTACTACACACATATTTCTGTTTCTGGTGTGATATTTTGGTGGATCATGTTTTATACTGGTGCCTGGCTACACACATATTTCTGTTTCTGGTGTCATATTTTGGTGGATCATGTTTTATACTGGCTACACACATATTTCTGCCTGGGCTTTTGGTGGATCATTTTTTTATACACACATATAGTTCTGTTTCTGGTGTCATATTTTGGTGGATCATGTTTTATACTGGTACCTGGCTACACACATATTTCTGTTTCTGGTGTCATATTTTGGTGGATCATGTTTTATACTGGTACCTGGCTACACACATATAGTTCTGTTTCTGGTGTCATATTTTGGTGGATCATGTTTTATACTGGTGCCTGGCTACACACATATTTCTGTTTCTGGTGTGATATTTTGGTGGATCATGTTTTATACTGGTGCCTGGCTACACACATATTTCTGTTTCTGGTGTCATATTTTGGTGGATCATGTTTTCTACTGGTACCTAGCTACACACATATTCATTTTACATATTGGTTTACTTTCTTTTCTAGGCTTATAGAAGGTGACTGGCCCTTCTGCTCCCCCCTCCCCAGCACACACACACACACGCTGAAGATCAGACCATCATGTGTTAAACTTTGTTATAGATATCTCCATCTGCTTTATTCTGTTTATGGTTTGAAAATAATTCTTTCATCCTGCCTTAAAAGTTGGAGTGAAGCATTGCTTTTCATGTGTTTGAAACACCTGGTTAACATCTAAATTAGTCCAATTTGCCCCAGGCACGTTTTATCCTGAAATCGTGAGCTAATGCATAAATTCCTGTAAAATTCAGTTTGATAGGTAAAAACCATCAAAATGTTTAGCTGTCGTTCATTCTGACCAGACCTACTTCTGGTGAAGTCCTTATACTTCTGAACTTCATTTAAATGGGAGCCGCATTAGCGCAGTCAATAGGAGTTCACCCAACCTCTAGGTATGGGTAACAGAGTTAACACTCTGGGGTAAATGGAGGAACGTCGCTGTAGCTATGGAGTTTCGTGCGGACGGCGACACAGGCGGACAATTTCTTATCAGCTGTCTGTACTGGTGGCTGAGCAATTATCGTTTACAACTGTGTGCAGTGACGCTGGTTCATCCGACTCTACCTGTGACCTTTTTACTTCATTTAACAACCCCTTATCAAATAAATTTAGAAGAATATAAAACGGGCACAGTGCAGTCAGAATGTAGACATGATATTGGTTGATTGAGGGGAAGCCACTATATTATCTCCCTAGAATGAGACAAATGGGTTGTCACTGTAAAATGTCAATAGATTTGACACTCCTGTGTACTGATACAACATACAGAATATATAATCAGAATACAAATGTTCGTACAAATTAAACTGGAACTGGTGTAAATTGTTTATCAGACAAAATTGTCCTCAGTTACCAGCTCAACCAATGGGAAGGTCACCTCAGTGCACGCCTTCTGAAGCACGCTGGATACAAATGTATAGCATAATTCTTCTTCTTAAAGACCATACCGTGTTGCGTTAGTAGTCATGTCTATCCACAACCTTCTGTCTTGTTTACTTTCAATCTAGCACAGTTAAAGTGATGAAGGGTACTGAAATTTTCTCAGCTGCTCACCGCGTTGTAACCTTCACCTGCCTGCCATGACTTCACGTAACCCTGGTGGGGGGAGGGGGGGCTGAATGGGTATTCTACCCCTGTTCATGTGGTATCCCGCAGGCTAGCGAAGGGAAAGAGGCGCCTTACATCTCCTGTTGGTAGGGTTTACCCTACTGTTACCCTTAGCACAGTTAGCCTGTCAGTATTATGATGGGTAGGTTTTTAAAATTAAGCCTAAGCATTGATCATGACGCCTGTGTGTCACCCGGGCTCTCACGGGAAGCAAAGAAAAGTGACACTGCACCCTACCATGCATGTCGTAAGAGGCGACTAATTGTAGGATTGGGCTTGAGGTTGGCTACCTCATCCTGTAAAAAACCATAGCCACAAAAATCAGCCAACCAAGATGAGGGGAGGCTTTTCAAATAGAAGTATGACACGGTGTGGAGAAAGCCGTAAGGAGTCCGGATCGTTGACGTACCTCCTCTCAGCTAGGAAAACCTCCAGAATTGGCACCTGGAATGTTAGAACTCTCTATGATATAGGGAGAACAATGGGTCTTTGCTTTGGAACCCACAGTGGCATAGGAATAAAGGAAGGCCAAAAAACACACCGAGAAGAGAGCTGAAGAATGAAGTTAGAAAGATGGGGAGGACATGGAGAAAGCTCCATGCAATGGCGATGGATAGAACGACTTGGCATGAGTTGGGTGAGGGCCTATGCTCCATTGGGGGATAGAAAGGCAGAAGAAGAAGATTGATCATGACCTAAATATTGCGACCCCTAGACAGTATCATTTCTCAAAAACTTAAAATTCTTTATCTGGACATGAAAGGAAGCGGCCTGTTTCACCTGCTGCTCTCAGTTTCATATGGTGGTTCCTATCTTCATTATTTTAGTATGTTGTGAAAATCCATACTACAGTGCTAGGTCTGGTTGAGGCAGAGGTCTTGACTAGCGTGATTCGCGTCACCAGTTGGATACTCAAGGAACACCCTGGTTGTTTGAAAGTTCTGGACTAGGGGAGGGTGAGTGGGGGGGGTGCGAGTGGCTTTCTGATTTGCTTGAATGATACTGTTGGTTCCTTGCCTTCGGCAGAGGACCTCCGCTAAATGAACGATTAGCACTCGGACATGCTTTTGGGTAGGCAGTGGGTCTGTTCTTGTTTTCCCCAAAATAGGGCCCCGGAACACACATTGGGACCTGAACTATGGATAATAGTGCCCTGGTTTGTTATGTTTTGAAAACATGTAATTTTGTGTGTAGACTGACCAGCATTTGTAACTGATTTTCAGGGATATCAAGGACACTACAGTAGGAACATTGTCTCAGCAGATAACAGCACAACTGATGGGCCTCAAAGGTTTGCATTCTCACATGGATGATATTAGTGGTTATCTGAAAAGTGTTGCCGAGGGACGCCTTCCCATCAATCATCAGATTGTATACCAGCTTCAGGTCTGTAGGGAGACATTGATGTCATCTGTTCTAGTGTTAAGATCAGGAGTTGACATTAGTTGAATACATTACATAGTCTTTGTTCACAGGCCCTCACATCACCTCTTCTAGAAATATGTATAGTCTCACATTCTACCCTCTGATCAGGTCTTCAGAATACGTATAGTGTCTACCCTTGTCACCTACTCAGAAACATGTGTAGTCTTGTCTCTTCTACCCTCACATCACGTCTTCAGAAATATGTATAGTCTCACATTCTACCCTCTGCCATCACCTCTTCAGAAATATGTATAGTCTGTACCCTCTGCCATCACCTCTTCAGAAATATGTATAGTCTCACTGACCCTCTAGCCATCACCTACTCAGAAATATGTGTAGTCTTGTCTAACATTCTACCCTCTGCCATCACCTTTCAGAAACATGTGTAGTCTTGTCTAACATTCTACCCTCTGCCATCACCTTTTCAGAAATATGTATAGTCTCACATTCTACCCTCTGCCATCACCTACTCAAAAAACGTGTAGTCTTGTCTAGCATTCTACCCTCTGCCATCAACTCTTCAGAAATATGTATAGTCTCACATTCTACCCTCTGCCATCACCTCTTCAGAAACATGTGTAGTCTTGTCTAACATTCTACCCTCTGCCATCACCTTTTTTAGAAACATGTGTAGTCTTGTCTAACATTCTACCCTCTGCCATCACCTTTTCAGAAATATGTAGTCTCACATTCTACCCTCTGCCATCACCTACTCAGAAACATGTGTAGTCTTGTCTAACATTCTACCCTCTGCCATCAACTCCTTCAGAAATATGTATTGTCTTATATTCTACCCTCTGCCATCACCTCTTCAGAAATATGTGTAGTCTTGTCTAACATTCTACCCTCTGCCATCACCTCTTCAGAAATATGTATAGTCTTGTCTTACATTCTACCCTCTGCCATCACCTCTTCAGGAATATGTATAGTCTCACATTCTACCCTCTGCCATCACCTCTTCAGAAATATGTATAGTCTCACATTCTACCCTCTGCCATCACCTCTTCAGAAATATGTATAGTCTCACATTCTACCCTCTGCCATCACCTACTCAGAAATATGTGTAGTCTTGTCTAACATTCTACCCTCTGCCATCACGTCTTCAGAAATATGTATAGTCTCACATTCTACCCTCTGCCATCACCTCTTCAGAAATATGTATAGTCTCACATTCTACCCTCTGCCATCACCTCTTCAGAAATATGTATAGTCTCACATTCTACCCTCTGCCATCACCTACTCAGAAATATGTGTAGTCTTGTCTAACATTCTACCCTCTGCCATCACCTTTTCAGAAACATGTGTAGTCTTGTCTAACATTCTACCCTCTGCCATCACCTTTTCAGAAATATGTATAGTCTCACATTCTACCCTCTGCCATCACCTACTCAAAAAACGTGTAGTCTTGTCTAGCATTCTACCCTCTGCCATCAACTCTTCAGAAATATGTATAGTCTCACATTCTACCCTCTGCCATCACCTCTTCAGAAACATGTGTAGTCTTGTCTAACATTCTACCCTCTGCCATCACCTTTTTTAGAAACATGTGTAGTCTTGTCTAACATTCTATCCTCTGCCATCACCTTTTCAGAAATATGTAGTCTCACATTCTACCCTCTGCCATCACCTACTCAGAAACATGTGTAGTCTTGTCTAACATTCTACCCTCTGCCATCACTCCTTCAGAAATATGTATTGTCTTATATTCTACCCTCTGCCATCACCTCTTCAGAAATATGTGTAGTCTTGTCTAACATTCTACCCTCTGCCATCACCTCTTCAGAAATATGTATAGTCTTGTCTTAACATTCTACCCTCTGCCATCACCTCTTCAGGAATATGTATAGTCTCACATTCTACCCTCTGCCATCACCTCTTCAGAAATATGTATAGTCTCACATTCTACCCTCTGCCATCACCTCTTCAGAAATATGTATTGTCTCACATTCTACCCTCTGCCATCACCTCTTCAGAAATATGTATAGTCTCACATTCTACCCTCTGCCATCACCTCTTCAGAAATATGTATAGTCTCACATTCTACCCTCTGCCATCACCTCTTCAGAAATATGTATAGTCTCACATTCTACCCTCTGCCATCACCTACTCAGAAATATGTGTAGTCTTGTCTAACATTCTACCCTCTGCCATCACGTCTTCAGAAATATGTATAGTCTCACATTCTACCCTCTGCCATCACCTCTTCAGAAATATGTATAGTCTCACATTCTACCCTCTGCCATCACCTCTTCAGAAATATGTATAGTCTCACATTCTACCCTCTGCCATCACCTCTTCAGAAATATGTATAGTCTCACATTCTACCCTCTGCCATCACCTACTCAGAAACATGTGTAGTCTTGTCCCTCTGCCATCACCTTTTCAGAAATATGTATAGTCTCACATTCTACCCTCTGCCATCACCTACTCAAAAACGTGTAGTCTTGTCTAGCATTCTACCCTCTGCCATCAACTCTTCAGAAATATGTATAGTCTCACATTCTACCCTCTGCCATCACCTCTTCAGAAACATGTATAGTCTTGTCTAACATTCTCCTCTCTGCCATCACCTTTTTTAGAAACATGTGTAGTCTTGTCTCACATTCTACCCTCTGCCATCACCTCTTCAGAAACATGTGTAGTCTTGTCTAACATTCTACCCTCTGCCATCACCTTTTTAGAAACATGTGTAGTCTTGTCTAACATTCTACCCTCTGCCATCACCTTTTCAGAAATATGTAGTCTCACATTCTACCCTCTGCCATCACCTACTCAGAAACATGTGTAGTCTTGTCTAACATTCTACCCTCTGCCATCAACTCCTTCAGAAATATGTATTGTCTTATATTCTACCCTCTGGCATCAACTCTTAAGAAATATGTGTAGTCTTGTCTAACATATTACCATCTGTTCTCACCTCTTCAGAAATATGTATAGTCTTGTCTAACATTCTACCCTCTGGCATCACCTCTTCAGAAATATGTGTAGTCTTTTCTCACATTCTACCCTCTGGCATCAACTCTTCAGAAACATGTATAGTCTTGTCTAACATATTACCATTTGTTCTCACCTCTTCAGAAATTTGTGTAGTCTTGTCTAACATTCTGCCCTAATACAGAAAAGTAATAGAATTATCCCTGCTTTACTAAATAATGTTACTTGTTATCTTTATTGAATTACCACATCCTAGCATTGGTGCTCTTATCTTATTGTCTGTTTGCTCAACCTATCCAGCAATAGTTGATTGGCATTTCCTCTTCCCTTGTCCTGCAGCCAGTTTCTGCATGCTTGTCTTCATTGAATACCCATTTCCAACAGGCGGCTCATCTTCACTGACTCATTTTCTCAATGTCTCTGTGATTAATTCAGTGTGTCTGCCCTGTGCATACTTCTTCCTCTATCAACAACTGCAGACACAGCCAGTCCGCCAGCTCTGTCATTTCCTTTCACTCCAGTGTGTACAGACATTATAGTTTCTTGAGGCGGGACTTCTCTCTGCTGTCAGCCTATTCTAGTCAGAGTTTGCCTGTCTGTATCTTCTTTAGCATGCTCCTTGAGTTACTGTCAGTGCGTGAACTGCTTTCTGTTCTGCCAGCCATGTAAGTGTGTCTGTTGCATCTGCTGTCTCCATTGTTGTACTAGAAGTAGTTGAACTGAATCATTGACTTTCTTTCTTTACTGTCCTCCTATTCACCTGAGCTTTGTATGCCCACGCATACTGCACCCAAGCTTTAATAAATAATGCTCACTATAAGTATAACATATAACCTGTATTCCACATTTCGTTGATCAAAGAGCACTCAGTAGCTATGGTAGTTATACCGAATAAACATGGCACAAGGGTAGTAACCCATAAGTGGAATGCTGTCAAGTCTGAGTCCCAAGAAGCTCAGCACAGTGCACAGGCTCTCTAGCACCGATGAGGATCCTGAAATACTTTAGGTCGATTTTTAACTCCCAATTTTGCTCCTGCAGCGCCGTTAGGCTACTCTTTTCGATTTCCAACTGCCAAGGGATTTTTTTTACATGTGCAACAATGCACACGAGCATCCAATTTCACTGCCCAGAGACCAGGGAGAATTACTAAAAGTCCAAGTCCACGTGAACAAATTCCAGCCCTTATCGGGGATTCAACCCAAAACCTCTAGCACTCGAGGCGGACACCATGCCTTGAGACCATGCAGCCCCCCCCCCCACCCCTCCCCCGATAAACATTTCTGGGATGAAAATTAAACATGGTTGTCATTGACATGACCTCTGTCTCAACAGGATGTCTTCAACTTACTGCCTGATGTCGGGGTACCAGACTTGGTACATTCACTGACTGTCAGCACAAATGATCAGATGAGTGTTGTGTATCTGGCATCTTTAGTCCGCTCGATCATGGCCTTACATAATCTCATCAACAATAAGGTTTGTATCATGCAGTATTAAGATTCCCGTTTCATGTGTGATTTTCTTATCCTGTGACTCAGGCTGAGTCGTACCTCAGAGTAGCTGCAGACACAGAACACCCTCCATATGAAGCTTTGGTTGCAGGACAAGGGTCAGAGGCTGAAAAGGGGGAAATTGTGGATGGCTCAAGCAGAAGACACAATAAGACAGGTATGCATGATGGAGAACATTAGACAAGGAGAGGAGTAGGTCAGAGTACCAGAGGAAAAGTCTGACCTGTGTAGGGCTATGATTACATTGGGCAGAGAGTGGTCAGCCGGTGCTACTGAGGTGAAAGTTCCAACAGTTGATTCACAGCAATTCTCACTCAGATGATCTATCTGTACGAGTGGTTTGGTGCTGAGCGGGAAGTGAAATGCCTGTGAATTCATAGCGCAAGCCAGTGGAAAATCTTTAATGCAGGACAGCCCAGCATATGAGAAAGGAGGTGGAGGCGATAACTGCAGCTTTCTGGTGGCTAGAGAACAAGATGTTTACACATGTCATAATTTTAACAGAGAAAGTTGAAGACAAGGATGCTTCGAGCAGAGTTGCAAGCTTCATTCGAAAGGTCACAGGTAGTGAAATTACTTTAGATGTTCTCTCCGGGCAGTGTCAGCATGGTGGGGAATAAACAGGCAGACAGAAACGCTGGATCTGCACCACTTGAAACAAGCAACGGAGTCACAAGCGAAACAATATTATTATGGCCTGGAAAGAATGAGGCACCTGGGTGTAACTAGACGGTCGAGCCGGCACATTACACTGAAAGGAAAGACGAGACGGATGTATAACTAGGTTACGACCAGTACCATTAGTATTGGAAACTCTACGCTGGCTGCTGAAGGTGAGGTTGGAGCATGCATGGGGATGCCCTGCGTGCTGTGATGTCAGTTCTTGACTCACATCAACCCTTTCCGAGTCCTGAATGTCTTATTTAGAACATCTGTAACATCTACCTTATGTCAGTTCTTGACTCACATCAACCCTTTCCTTGTCCTGAATGTCTCATTTAGAACGTCTGTAACATCTGCCTTATGTCAGTTCTTGACTCACATCAACCCTTTCCTTGTCCTGAATGTCTCATTTAGAACATCTACAACATCTACCTTATGTAAGTTCTTGACTCACATCAACACTTTCCTTGTCCTGAATGTCTCATTTAGAACATCTGTAACATCTGCCTTATGTCAGTTCTTGACTCACATCAACACTTTCCTTGTCCTGAATGTCTCATTTAGAACATCTGTAACATCTGCCTTACTCATTTGGGCTGTTCAGAGTGTTTAAACATTTTTAGCAACTACAGGTCTTTGACTTCCTTATTCTTCACGGTGTCGCGGGAGATCCTTATTCTTCACGGTGTCGAGGGAGATCCTCATTCTTCACGGTGTCAAAGGAGATCCTTATTCTTAAAGGTGTCAAGGGAGATCCTTATTCTTAAAGGTGTCAAGGGAGATCCTTATTCTTCATGGTGTCGAGGGAGATCCTTATTTTTAAAGGTGTCAAGGGAGATCCTTATTCTTAAAGGTGTCAAGGGAGATCCTTCTCTTCATGGTGTCGAGGGAGATCCTTATTCTTAAAGGTGTCGAGGGAGATCCTTATACTTCACGGTGTCGAAGGAGATCCTTATTCTTAAAGGTGTCAAGGGAGATCCTTATTCTTAAAGGTGTCAAGGGAGATCCTTCTCTTCATGGTGTCGAGGGAGATCCTTATTCTTAAAGGTGTCAAGGGAGATCCTTATTCTTAAAGGTGTCAAGGGAGATCCTTATTCTTAAAGGTGTCAAGGGAGATCCTTATTCTTAAAGGTGTCGAGGGAGATCCTTATTCTTCACGGTGTCGAGGGAGATCCTTATTCTTCACGGTGTCGAGGGAGATCCTCATTCTTCACGGTGTCAAAGGAGATCCTTATTCTTAAAGGTGTCAAGGGAGATCCTTATTCTTCACTGTGTTGAGGGAGACCCTTATTCTTCACGGTGTCGCGGGAGATCCTTATTCTTCACTGTGTTGAGGGAGATCCTTATTCTTCACGGTGTCAAAGGAGATCCTTATTCTTAAAGGTGTCGAGGGAGATCCTTATTCTTCACGGTGTCGAGGGAGATCTTTATTCTTCACGGTGTCGAGGGAGATCCTCATTCTTCACTGTGTCAAAGGAGATCCTTATTCTTAAAGGTGTCAAGGGAGATCCTTATTCTTAAAGGTGTCAAGGGAGATCCTTATTCTTCATGGTGTCGAGGGAGATCCTTATTCTTAAAGGTGTCAAGGGAGATCCTTATTCTTAAAGGTGTCAAGGGAGATCCTTATTCTTAAAGGTGTCAAGGGAGATCCTTATTCTTAAAGGTGTCAAGGGAGATCCTTATTCTTAAAGGTGTCGAGGGAGATCCTTATTCTTCACGGTGTCGAGGGAGATCCTTATTCTTCACGGTGTCGAGGGAGATCCTTATTCTTCACGGTGTCGAGGGAGATCCTTATTCTTAAAGGTGTCGAGGGAGATCCTTATTCTTAAAGGTGTCAAGGGAGATCCTTATTCTTCATGGTGTCGAGGGAGATCCTTATTCTTCATGGTGTCAAGGGAGATCCTTAATTCTTAACGGTGTCGAGGGAGACCCTTATTCTTCACGGTGTCGAGGGAGATCCTTATTCTTCACGGTGTCAAAGGAGATCCTTATTCTTCACGGTGTCAAAGGAGATCCTTATTCTTAAAGGTGTCGAGGGAGATCCTTATTCTTCACGGTGTCGAGGGAGATCCTTATTCTTCACGGTGTCGAGGGAGATCCTCATTCTTCACGGTGTCAAAGGAGATCCTTATTCTTCACGGTGTCAAAGGAGATCCTTATTCTTAAAGGTGTCAAGGGAGATCCTTATTCTTAAAGGTGTCAAGGGAGATCCTTATTCTTCACGGTGTCGAGGGAGATCCTTATTCTTCACGGTGTCGAGGGAGATCCTTATTCTTAAAGGTGTCCATTGAGATCCTTATTCTTAAAGGTGTCAAGGGAGATCCTTTTTCTTCATGGTGTCGAGGGAGATCCTTATTCTTCATGGTGTCAAGGGAGATCCTTATTCTTAACGGTGTCGAGGGAGATCCTTATTCTTCACGGTGTCGAGGGAGATCCTTATTCTTCGCGGTGTAGAGGGAGACCCTTATTCTTCACAGTGTCGAGGGAGATCCTAATTCTTCACTGTCGAAGGAGATCCTTATTTTTTACGGTTTCGAGGGAGATCCTTATTCTTCAGGGTGTCGAAGGAAATCCTTATTCTTCACGGTGTCGAGGAAGATCCTTATTCTTAACGGTGTAGAGGGAGATCCTTATTCTAAACGGTGTAGAGGGAGATCCTTATTCTTAACGGTGTAGAGGGAGATCCTCATTCTTCACGGTGTCGAAGGAGATGTAAAGTTCTGCTTATTGCCTGGCCACCTTGACCATAGACATATTGCAGTATTGTAGAATTTCTCTGCTTCTCTTTCCTTTTTGGTCTGCCTCGTGATATACATCCTTCTCTTTTGGTGTATGCCTTGTGTGGTATGGCATCACAAAGCATTCTCTCTCTCTAAGTGGACAAACCATTTGATTTTCTACCTGTATGTATTGGTTATGTGTCAATTTTTCCTTTTTTTGACATCATTTAGTTTTTTTTTTTTTAAATCCCTTCAGGTCACTTCTGCAGCCTTTCTCAGAAATCTCATTTCCATGGTTAATAAGTTTATTTTCTAGTTTGTTGTGAGTGACCATGTCTGGCGGTGATAGCAAAGGGTGGAGATAAATATGTTGTAAGTGACCATGTCTGGTGGTGATAGCAAAGGGTGGAGATAAATATGTTGTGAGTGATCATGTCTGGTGGTGATAGCAAAGGGTGGGGGATAAATATGTTGTGAGTGATCATGTCTGGTGGTGATAGCAAAGGGTGGAGATAAATATGTTGTGAGTGATCATGTCTGGTGGTGATAGCAAAGGGTGGGGGATAAATATGTTGTGAGTGATCATGTCTGGCTGTGATAGCAAAGGGTGGAGATAAATATGTTGTGAGTGATCATGTCTGGTGGTGATAGCAAAGGGTGGGGGATAAATATGTTGTGAGTGATCATGTCTGGTGGTGATAGCAAAGGGTGGAGATAAATATGTTGTGAGTGATCATGTCTGGTGGTGATAGCAAAGGGTGGGGGATAAATATGTTGTGAGTGATCATGTCTGGTGGTGATAGCAAAGGGTGGAGATAAATAGGTTGTGAGTGATCATGTCTGGTGGTGATAGCAAAGGGTGGGGGATAAATATGTTGTGAGTGATCATGTCTGGTGGTGATAGCAAAGGGTGGAGATAAATATGTTGTGAGTGATCATGTCTGGTGGTGATAGCAAAGGGTGGGGGATAAATATGTTGTGAGTGACCATGTCTGGTGGTGATAGCAAAGGGTGGAGATAAATATGTAGTGAGTGACCATGTCTGGTGGTGATAGCAAAGGGTGGAGATAAATATGTTGTGAGTGATCATGTCTGGTGGTGATAGCAAAGGGTGGAGATAAATATGTTGTGAGTGATCATGTCTGGCTGTGATAGCAAAGGGTGGGGGATAAATATGTTGTGAGTGATCATGTCTGGTGGTGATAGCAAAGGGTGGGGGATAAATATGTTGTGAGTGATCATGTCTGGCTGTGATAGCAAAGGGTGGGGGATAAATATGTTGTGAGTGATCATGTCTGGTGGTGATAGCAAAGGGTGGGGGATAAATATGTTGTGAGTGACCATGTCTGGTGGTGATAGCAAAGGGTGGAGATAAATATGTTGTGAGTGACCATGTCTGGTGGTGATAGCAAAGGGTGGGGATAAATATGTTGTGAGTGATCATGTCTGGTGGTGATAGCAAAGGGTGGGGGATAAATATGTTGTGAGTGATCATGTCTGGTGGTGATAGCAAAGGGTGGAGATAAATATGTTGTGAGTGACCATGTCTGGTGGTGATAGCAAAGGGTGGGGGATAAATATGTTGTGAGTGACCATGTCTGGTGGTGATAGCAAAGGGTGGAGATAAATATGTTGCGAGTGACCATGTCTGGTGGTGATAGCAAAGGGTGGAGATAAATATGTTGTGAGTGATCATGTCTGGCTGTGATAGCAAAGGGTGGGGGATAAATATGTTGTGAGTGACCATGTCTGGCTGTGATAGCAAAGGGTGGGGGATAAATATGTTGTAAGTGATCATGTCTGGTGGTGATAGCAAAGGGTGGAGATAAATATGTAGTGAGTAACCATGTCTGGTGGTGATAGCAAAGGGTGGAGATAAATATGTTGTGAGTGACCATGTCTGGTGGTGATAGCAAAGGGTGGAGATAAATATGTTGTGAGTGATCATGTCTGGTGGTGATAGCAAAGGGTGGAGATAAATATGTTGTGAGTGATCATGTCTGGTGGTGATAGCAAAGGGTGGAGATAAATATGTTGTGAGTGACCATGTCTGGTGGTGATAGCAAAGGGTGGGGATAAATATGTTGTGAGTGACCATGTCTGGCGGTGATAGCAAAGGGTGGGGGATAAATATGTTGTGAGTGACCATGTCTGGTGGTGATAGCAAAGGGTGGAGATAAATATGTTGTGAGTGACCATGTCTGGCGGTGATAGCAAAGGGTGGGGATAAATATGTTGTGAGTGATCATGTCTGGTGGTGATAGCAAAGGGTGGAGATAAATATGTTGTGAGTGATCATGTCTGGTGGTGATAGCAAAGGGTGGAGATAAATATGTTGTGAGTGATCATGTCTGGTGGTGATAGCAAAGGGTGGGGGATAAATATGTTGTGAGTGATCATGTCTGGTGGTGATAGCAAAGGGTGGAGATAAATATGTTGTGAGTGATCATGTCTGGTGGTGATAGCAAAGGGTGGGGGATAAATATGTTGTGAGTGATCATGTCTGGCGGTGATAGCAAAGGGTGGAGATAAATATGCTTAGTATGAGATATTTCATAGTTTGTGTTGCTTTGTAATGTCTGTTTTTTTCTTCTTCCTATTAACATTACTTCTGTGTACAATGTTGATTCTCTGTCTGAGAGGCAAGGAGCCAACAGACTATATACAAATATGCCAGTCTCTAAAACTTGTGTGCTTGCAAAACTCAAGATCTGGGACAAAACTAAAGTTCATTAGTGGATGTGAAAACTTTCCACTGAAGTTTACAGCAGGTGAACGCAAAGAAGAAGAAGTTTCTTATTTTATTAGTTTACAATCTTCATTTATTGATATGATAAGGGAGTACAAAATAATAATTTGAATAGGGAACCCTTTTTCTATACTTGGGTGCCGTGATGACACAGTAGCTAGCAGGTTTGCCTATCTGCTCTATTGTCGTAGATTTCAACCCCCAGGAGTTTTATAAAAACTGACCAAAGACTTCTAATTTCTTCTGCGTCTTCTTCTTCTCTTCTTCTAGTTTTCTATCATTTTACAGGGTAAAATGATTTTGCCCCGTTTCTTTTTTTTTTCAGGTGCAGAACAGAGATGCAGAGAAGAATGAGGGTAAGGATTCAAGCAAAGACAAAAAGGATACCAAGGAAAAAGGGGATGAAAAGTCTTCAGCTGACAAAGAAAAGGATAAAAAAGATGGATCGAAAGATGAAAAAGATGCAAAGAAGTCCGTGAAGAAATGATTAATGTCTGCACAAAATGCTAAAAGCAATGTCATAGTTACATTTGCAGCTGATTTTGTTAACAGAAGTGAGTTTATAATTTGGGTGGTTGTGTAAAAACATCAGATGATTAAAAAAAAAAGCAGAAAAAACAACCACATTCTACATGTAATATTGTTTGGTTTTAATAAAACTAGAACTTCTCTGGTTTTTATTTCTTGAACACATCAAATTAATGAAAATGTGTGTGTTCGGATGAGTTTGTGTTTCATTTGATATGAAAATTAAAAACTGATCTGGCTTAATTTCCTTGTTATTTGTCAAGTAAACAGTAACATAAATGCATGGTAACTATTTGTGAGTGTATGGACAGTACAAGATTATTAGTTGGTGCTTCTTTTCTGTATTGTGTCACAATGTTGTTAACAGTGCATCTTCACATACAGCATGGTGTATGGTGTGTATTGTATCACTTGTTAATGTCAGAACTCTGAATTCTTCTTCTTCTTCTTCACGTTCACCAGCTGTACACTCTGGCGGAAAGTTCTGGTTGTTCGTCCACTACTGAACTGCAGTCCTGCTCCAGAACCTGAGTGTTGCGTGTGCATCAGTTTTACAGATCTCATTCTCTCGAATACAGACTGTTGGTTCCTTGCCTCTCCGGCAGATGCACTCCGACTTCAAAAGAAGCTCCCCAATTAGTCGACTCTTACGACATGCTTTTGGGGAGGCAGTGGGTCTATTCTTGTTTTCCCCTACAATGGGGCCCCGGAACCCACACGGGGGAGAACTCTGAATTGAAGTCAAGGAACAAAGTTAGCACACAATACTCCATTCTACCAGCATTTAAAATTATTCTGCTCCTTTTTTCTCTTTTTTTTCATCTCCTAAAGAAGGATCTGTGGCCTAAATGTTGCTAACATGCTTTGTAGTGCAGGCTTTGATCTAGTGCAGGCAGCTTAGCAGCACACTGCCTTACATTAGGTTTGACAGTGGTATCAAGAGCTGACAGTTTAGGATGTAATGGCAAACTTCTCAACGTGAATTTTGCTCAGGTAAAACTGCAACAGCCAACAAATGCTGGGGTTAGTTCTTCAACGTTCTGTAAAGGACATGCAACTAACTTTAAAAGGAGCAAAAACCACCCTGATGTTTGTTGATTTGTCCAGGTTTAACTGGATTTTGCAGGTATAAGTTTATTACTGAATAAGGTAGCCAATCTCATGTTGGCCCAGCTAGGTCACTTCTTATGGCATTCATGGTAGGTTACGCAGCTACTATACTTTCCTTGTATTATGGCCTACAGAAAATATTTTAAATCAGACTGTTATAGTGAGATACAGTGAGAACTTTAAATTATTAAGCAATTAGTTATCCCATCTGTTGCGAATTAAGTAAATAAGTTATAATCAGTGCACCTGTAATGGCTACACTGGACAAATGTAGCATGCGGTCCTATATATGGGGTAAGGGTTAGGAAGTGAGCAGATTTCTGAAAAGTTATGTAGAGGTAGCAGAAGTGTCTTTATTAAAACTAAAACATGCATACATTAAAAGCCTAATGAAGATTTCTTGAAAAAATATATTCAGAAAAAAAGAACACCCGTAAATTTCAGTTAGTTTTTTTTTGCGTGTCGCAAGAAGGGGAACTACAGAACCTCGTGACAGCAGGGAAACTTCAGGGGAAGAATGGCAGAGCCAAACCAAAATGTTGAGAAAAATAATCAATTTGGCATCACGACACGGGGAAAGAGTTTCTACAAAAGCTGCAGAAATTATGTAAGAACAGCAGACCAAAAGTCAGAAGAATTTAAGACCTCTAGCGGTGTTAGACGAGGTGATGTTCTCTAACATTAGCTCTTCATGCTTATGATGGATGATGTCATCAAGGTCTGTAAGGAGAAGACAAAGAAGTACTCTGTAGGGTACTGGAAGATGAGACCAATCTGTATATCAGAGCTGGCTTTTGCAGACGACGTGGCCCTGATAGCTAAAATCAGAGGCACACCTTCAGTCCAACTTACTTGTCTGGAAGGAAGAGCTTGAAAAGAGAGGGATGACCATCAGTATCTCTAAAACTAAAACCATGGTGATCTCAAGAGAGGAGAAGAAACATCAGATCATGATGGGACAGTATGCATTGGAGCAGGTCAACCAGTTCAAATACCCTGGAGAAGTATGAGGCCAAAAAATGGAGGTATTGAGACTGAGCTGGCTACACGAAAAGCAGCTGCTGGGAGACTCTTCCAGGCCATAAACCGAGGGGTTTCTTAAATTACGCACTTCCGGCGACTTCCGCCACCGCCGAGAGTATCCCTCACGCCGCTCACACGGCGTGGATTGGGGCCAAACTAGATGGCTGGGACTCTCGAGCAGCAGCAACTGAATCTCCTGCAGCTTCCTTCATTTTATTTGCTCATGGCGTTATATTCGGCGGTGGCGTTATGGCCCCCAGAAGTGCGCACTTGACACGTGACTGAGACCCTGTTAGGGTATATTTTCCGCCTCGATAATTTAGGACCGTTATTTGGAGGATAGCCGATAGATAGGTAGGTAGGTAGACAGATATATTGGAAGGTAGATAGAATAGGTAGGTGGATGGATGTGAGAATGGTTGGTTGGATGAACGGTTGATGTATGAATGGATGGGTGGACAAATGGTTAGGTGGATCGGCCTATATTTATGTTGATGTATGAAATCAGGTGAACGTGGGTCCTGTGATACGATGATTCCCTCTTACTGTCAGCTGTCACATAGAGACAGTAAGGATGATTGTTTTACAAAGTATCAGTCGAGCCTAAGCACACAACATCGTGTTACCTAAAATACCCGCCGTCTCAGCAGCAGAAACCAGCGAGGTTCAGTATCACGGGATGTTTGCAAGAGAACGGAAACCTCGGGTGTATTCCGTGTTTTATGGTAAAAGCAAGAATGATAGGGAGCTATGAATGGATAGATGGATTAATAAAATGAGTAGATGAATGGATGGCTATACTGGTGGATGAATGAAATTGTAGATGGATAAAAGGATCGGCTGATATATATGAAAACATTCTCGAATTTAAATAAAACAATGTCCACGGACAAAACTGTATGTCACTCTAAAATAAAAAAATTAAAAAAAAGATAGAGACATTAAAAATGTCACAAACTTTGAATATCTAGGCTCTATAATGAATAGCAGTGGAGACTGTTTGACAGAAGTCGAAAGGAGGATAACTATAGCAACGCAAAATTTCAACAACATTAAAAGTCTCTGGTGAAGCACCAGCAAGGAAATCAAAGGTTAATATTTTGAGAGCATGCATCTTCTCTGTGGCAACATACGGATGTAAGTAATGGACTATCTCCCAGTCCTTAAGAAAGAAAAGAGGGTTTTTTGAGCTGAATGCTATAGAAATATTTTCAGTATGCCATGGACAAAGAAGAAAAGAAATACTGATATTTTAAAAGATCTGAACATCAAGGAAGATTGGCTAATGAATAGCATCTTGTCTCGGAAGCTGAAATATTTTGGTCATATCAAACGATATGGCGGATAATAGCTGAAAGCATGGTACCAGGAAGGAGGAGCAGTGGCTGACCAACAAGAAGATGGGCACAGGATATGAGTGACTCCTTGAATATAAAAGTGCATGAGGGGGGAAGCTGGCGAGAGACCGAGCTTTTTTCAGGCAGACCGTGATGAAATCGACGTTCTGCAAAAGACCTGCTACACGATAATGATAAGCACCTGTCAAATGTTATACTCAGGTATTTCATAGAATCAGATCTCTCAACATCAGCGCCACGTAGTTTTGCTATCGGCATTGGTTATGGAAAGGTGATTATTTAATGAGAACCAGGTGACTGTCGCTTTTGATGGATTAATTGTTGCCCCTGAGTTGTTGATATGCGATCTAATTCCTGTTGTAGATCAAAATCAATGTCATCTCTGTTCCCGCCCTGTCGGTACACGAGGACATCATCCGCATATGATAGAGTTATTCCTTGGCCACTCAGTTGTTCCCCTGTGATCTTTAGGTTGTGAGTGCAGGGACTGGTCAGCTGGTGCAGCAGAATCAGAAATTCAACAAATGATTCGTGACAATTCCCGCACACGTAATATCAGATTATCTATACAGATGGTCTTGTGTTCACAGGCAGACAAATTGCATGGGGGTTCACAACAAAAGCGAACAGACGTCGCTTATTGCAACACAACCTAGCATAAAATGCCACAACGTCTAATTTGAGAATGGAGGTGGAGGCAGTCACTAACTGACTTGTAGAGCATGTTGAGAAAGGCGGAGACAGGCGTGCTCCGTGCTGTGTACAGACGTCCCGGGTAGTGTCTTTTAGATATTTTCTCCAGGTGATGCCGGTGGAGTAGGAAATGAGCCTGTAACAAGTATGGCCGGTTCTGCATCACATGGTGGTGAATTGATGCATGACAAGCTATATGTTGCGAGCGCCGTTCTGGAGAGAGTGAACAGTGCGGAGGCACACACATATAATTATGGTCTGAGGAGAATGACGCTGCGAGTAGTTACTAGGGGATCTGGCCGATGCTCAACATTTATAAAAAAGGCCAGACGGATGTATACCACGTGCCTAGCCAGATTATTGTCTTGACATCGATGATCCTCATCCGCATGGTGGCACTTTGTGTCAATAGGTGTTTCTCGCTTGTGTGATGGATGTCCTGGTGGGGTACAATTTACTTACTTCCCTTGCATCTCTACGAGCACAAACAGGGGAAACTACTGTGATATTATTGTATTGTGTTGCCAAACATTGACGCAAGTTGATGCAACGGGGTATAAATTTATCTTTGGATGAAATCACTTCTATGAAATCAGCCGGGGACTCATGACACGCAGGAGAAAACACCATAGAACACTGACACTACAACACAGACGAGAGACATGGCAACATACCCTAGCGAAAGTGTCCAGTCTGACCAAGTCGCTTCTCAGAGTTCTGTATCCCACGACGTAGGCCTAACCACACCGAACGATTTAGTTTCCCTGTTGGACCT